GGGATTGGAATGAAAACTGACCTTTTCCAGTCCTGTGGCCACTGCTGAGTTTTCCAAATTTGCTGGCATATTGAGTGCAGCACTTTCACAGCATCATCTTTCAGGATTTGAAATATAGCCTTAATACATACTTAAATACATACTTAAAAGGATGAAATTACATATTATACTATGTACAGAAATTAACTCAAAGTGGTTCAACCTATAAACCTCTTATAAACTTAGGGACTGACTTTCAGAACTTTGGCTTTAGCAGTGATTTCTGAAGTTGACCCAGAAATAAGTATGATATCAAATGCACAGGCAAACAAAAGAAACGATAAATTAAAATTCATTAAAAGGTACAACTTTTATCACAGAATTCTATCAAGAGGGTGAAAAGAAAACCAACAGAATAGGGTAGAATACTTGCAAATCACATATCTGATTTGATGTCCACAATATATAAAGAATTCCTACAAACTAACATCAAAACTTTTGAAACTGAATTGACACACCCCTTTGCCAAAGATACATTAATAGCAAAAAGCACATGAAAAGAGGCTCAATGCCATTTATCACTAGGGAAACTCAAAAATCAAAATCACAATGAGATTACTACTTCTCACCATCAGCATGGCTGTAATTCAAAAAAGAAGAAAGAAAATAAAATGGTGAGCATATGGAAAAACCAGCATCCTCATACACTGCTGGCAGGAACATAAAATGCTACAGTCACTTTGGGAAAACATTTTGATGGTTCCTTAAAAACAAAGAACTACAGAATGGCCATGCAATTCTACTCCTAGTTTTGAAATAGGGACACATTTGTACATCAGTGTTCATAGCAACATTATTCACAACAGCTGAAAGGTACAAACAACCCAAATATCCATTAATAGAAGACTTGATAAGTAAATTGTGATATATACATACAATGGACTATTAGTCATAAAATGAAATTAAGTTCTGATACACGCTATATAACATGGATGAACCCTAGAAACATAATCTAAGGTGAAATAAGTCAGATACACAAAAACACAAATTTTGTGTGGTTACACTTATAAATGAGGTACCTAGAGTTTTCTAATTCAGAGTCAGAAAGTGGATAAGAGGTCCTCAGGGAAGGAAGAATGGGCATTATTGCTTAATTGGTACACTCCTATATCGAAATGGTGAAAAAGTCTTAAAAATACTGAGTGTTGACAGCGTGCAATATTCTCTTAATTATACACTGAAAAGTGATTAAAATGGCAAATTTTATGTTGCATATATTTTACCATAATAATATATATATATATATACACACACACTAGAAGACATACAAATAAATCTACCCAATTCCACATCCTATCCAACAAAACATTTATTAGTTTCTTGAGTCCATTTACTCTTCTTTATGGAAATACAAGCAAACAACACTGTTATTCTATTCTAGTTCCATGGACCACTCATTGCTTGAAAAAAAAAAAACCCACAATTCATCAAGTGGGCAGGACCATCTTTCTTGTCTCACTGTGTACACAGTTTAGTGCTCACCAATATGAACTTTAAAGAGCAAAATTAAGTATCCACAATAATTATCTCATTAATAACAGTCTGATGAAAGAGAAGATAACCAGTCTACTATACCTGGTTCATTTATTCTGCCAAATGTATGCCTGGTGTTGTGTTTTCTGGTTTTGAAGCAAGCTTCACAAAAATCAAAGTCATCACAGTTTCTGCATTTGAATCTAGATCCATTGATAGGAAACATCTGACAGCCATCACACCTATTTTTAAAATAGCCATTTAGTTGATAAGAAAAACATGAGGTCATCTATCAAACTTAATTCCAAAGAAAACCATTCCTCCCAAACAAATCTAGCAATATAAAAATAAAAACTCACGTAACACCAGGGTGAACACTAGGTACCAGCTCCATTTCTGATAACAGCCCAGTCCAGTGAGACTGCTGAGGAAAGTCGACAATAACATCTTTTCCATTGGCACTGAAAGCTAGGACAAACAGAAATTGTTTGAAACATCTCTGTCACCAACAAAAATCTAAAATTAAAATTAAATCTATACCTGGCTATGTGATATTGTATTATAGTTATTTTTGTTTTACAGAGTACTTCTCTTTTAGAGAGGCATGCTAAGACACTTTTGTATGAACTAACACATGATGTCAATTGGTTAGCTTCAAAATAATGGAGGGAGAGGATCATGGATGAACAACTTTAGCCAGGAGTTGTCAACTGCTGAAGTCAAGTGATGGGTACACAGCAGTTCTTTATACTATAGTCTCTATTTTTGTATATGTTCGAAATTTGCTACAATAAGAAGGTTCATTTAATCACACCAAGCAAAAACTCCATTCAGTATCTTAGGGAATAAAAATTACATTAATAATAGATCTACTGCCCTTTGGTGAAAGCTACTCTAAATATTAACTTCTAAATCAAGTTATTCTTTAAATTTATCTTTGCTTTGATTTGTAAAGCTTTGAAAAATCACTTAAGAAACTGTTAAACAAAACTGAAAACTGTTAAAGTAAAATGTTAAATAAGCTACTTTGTTAAATAAGCTACACTGTTCTTATGTAAACTTAAGAAAACTAATACCCCTGGTCCCCTGGGAAGGTACCACCATTGTGGCCATTTTTAATCTAAGTTATCCAGTAAGAGTTTTTCCTACAAGGATCAAGGAAGACAAAACAAAGAAAAGTGGCACTGAAAGCAAATTTAAAGATAAAACCACATAAATACTTAACCATTTCTCATGCACCTGTTAAAATGGATACGTATACCATTTAAAGTGTGCCATGTTTGATTTGAAATCTCAAGAATATCACATTAAACATAAAGTGAGGAAAATTTTGTGTTTCCAGGTGCTGACTTCTATCATTTGCACAAAGCCATTTCTTAAATTTATTAAAAGAGAGAGAAAAACACTGAGGGAGATAGCCATTTGGCAGGATTGACAGAACAACTTCAAAAAACCCCAACACAAGGCCACACTGAGACTGTAACAGACTGAGGTAAAAACAAAGCCACTGTTTTAACATATCCAGTCACGCTCAATCTAATCCAAACCACAAGCCCAACCTGATTAGTATAAACAACTGCTTCCTTGCCAAACATAATCTCATCATGAGTCCATTATCTCTTCCAAACAGTATTTATTAAGATATCCATTCTTAGAATTACCCCAATTTCCTGAACCCTCCCCAAAATACCAAATGCAAACTCCATCAAACTTTGCTGCACCACTTATGAAGACACCCCATTTCCAGGACACGCACTCTCCCATGCTGCAGGGAGTTAACACACCTGACTCTGTCCAATAACAGGTGTGCTGCAGCTCTCCAGAGTATTGAAAAGAAAAAGAATGTTATGTATAAATCATAAGGCGGTTTTTCCTGCCCTTGAATGGGAAGAAAAAAAAAAAGAGTTTACATTAGTTGATGAAAAGCTAAACACTTGGGAGTTTTCTTTCCGAGGTAGTACTACCTTTCACAACCCCCACACTTTGATGAGTCACAGATCCCCACTTGTACTTCGGTGTTGTGACTGAGGCTTTGACACGAACTTTATCACCAATTTTGATGTGAGAAGGAGAACTTGGTGGAGGATAGCCTAGAGATTCCAATAAAAAAGAAATATAATTAGCATTCATTCAGCAACTCTGAATCTAATTAAGAAAGTCAAAAGAACTTAACAAAGAATGTTCTCACCTATAAGTTCCACATGAATATACCTAACCCAGTAAGTGCCTCCTTTCTGCTGCCAATCACACTGCACATTGAGGTCATGTAATCCATCCCTATCCAATTTGATGACTTTGCCCACATCTCCTTCACACACCTCTTCNTGAAAAAAAAAAAAAAAAAGATTAATGGGCTCCCTCAAAAGAATAACGTGACCAAGAGGAAAAATGACTGAAACATATTAAATCCATAACAGCCAAAAACCTCCTCATATAAGCAAATTAAAGGTTTCTTGGTCATCTTTTTATAGTATAGGATACCAATACACAACTGAAAATTCATAATACAAGCAAACAAAAAGCAACCATCTTTTCTGCCTTTCCTATACAAACAAGAGTTGATAAGAAAGTTTCCTATACAAACAAGAGTTGATAAGAAAGTTTTTTACAATATACAGAACTCTAGCTAATATATTTGGAAGGAATGACAAATTTATAAAACCACTATTATGCAACCTTTCTTAATGGGTCTAGATAGTACCATTAACCACTACTAAAGCTCCAAGATGGATAATTAATAAAGACTGGATGGTACAGATGACAAGTAACAATGCATGTTGGGCCATAATACAATACAGTCTTTCCCAAGATGCAGCCAGAGTCCAACCAACCTCCAGCCCTCACTCTGACTTTACAGGAGATGCAGAGAGGGAGGAAAATGTGGGGCAACATAATTTTAGTCATAAATAAATGGCATGAAAAGAAAAAAAAAAAACGAGCGAAAAATGGTTCTAGGTTAAAAATACACATCACCCAAATGTGCGTGTGATCTTATTTGTATCTAAATCTTAAAAAATTACTATAACAAGCCATTTTTGGGGAAAACTGGGAAAATCTGAGCCCAAATTAGATAATGAGATAATAGTAAGGAACTACTGTTTACTTTGTTAGGCAATGTTAAGTGACAGCACTGTCAGTATGTTAAAAATAAATCCTTTATTTAGGGATACATGCTGCTGACTTATTTAGAGGAGAAATGAGACCATTTCTGAGATTTCCTCTGAAGTATACTAATGGGTCAGGAAGACCAGCTGGAGATGGGATGGCCACCCACTCCAGTGTTCTTGGGCTTCCCTGGTTGCTCAGCTGGTGAAGCATCCACCCGCAGTGCAGGAAACCTGGGCTCGATCCCTGGGTTGGGAAGAAACCGTGGAGAAGGGAAAGGCTACCCACTCTAGTATTCTGGCCTGGACAATTCCATGGACTAAGTTGCTCAGTCGCTCTTGCGATACAGTCCATGGGATCATAAGAGCGACTGAGCAACTTTCACTTTCACACTAACTAGAGAGGAGGGCCTGGCAGTTCACTCCAGTACTCTTGCCTGGAGAATCCCATGGACAGAGGAGCCTGGTGGGCTACAGTCCATGGGGTTGCAAAGAGTCGGACACAACTAAAGCCACTTAGCACACACACATACTAACTATAACAAAAGAACTAAAACAGGAAAAGAAAGAATTTAAGGTTGAAAAGGACTACACAAAAAGCATAGCTAAATATTTACAATTAGATGGCAAGAAGAAGAATACTTAAAAAAAAAGCAAAAACAGAATATAGAAGTGTCCAGAATAGGGATGATCAAGAAGCACATGTGTGTGTGCCGCACCACTGTGGGCAAGCCACCTTCCGCACACCTTCTGCTCCTCTGTCCTCTGCTCCAGTCACAGCCCCTCCCCGGTACGTGCTTTGCCCGCCCTCTCTGACTTTCTGAGATGCTCAAACATCTGCTGAATGAAAACCTAAGCAATCAAGGTTCTAGCCCAACACCATTACTCACCTGAATATTCTCTCTCACATACACAGCATAGTCATCATTACTTAAGAAATCAGCTCGCTTTTTATAAGTCTGGCTCTCTGTTACAACAGCACCAGTGGACTACAAAAGATAAATACTTTTTTATAAATGGTGAACCAGATAAACCTACTGAAAAAGAAAGTAGTAAGTGAAATCCATAATATTAAAAAAGCATTTAATATTCTGTTTTCACTATAAAATTCTTCACTTAAAAAAAGACTAATAACAATAGCACTGTAAGCAGAATAAATCTCAAAAGCTGAAAGTACAGAAAATTTCTGAGGCAATTCCAAATCAATCCCATAAAACAACACACTTGAGTCAGAAGTAAATGTCCTGTAAATAATGATTTTCTAAGATCATCTCTAATAGCTGCCCAACACCAGCAGATGTTAAAGTGAAAAGCAATTAAGGCACAGAAAACCCAGGCAGCCCTTAGCAGCTTTGCCACATGCCTGGCAGAACCACAGAGAGGCCCCATGGAGCAATGCAGAGGAATCCAGAACTCAGAACAGATGGGCACAAGGGAAGCACTGACCATAGCATAGGCCGTGTCATCCACATCCTCCATCACCTCCTCGTCTGAACATTCCTCAGACCCTGTGTCTGCATCCGAGAGGTCCGTGACCTGCACATCAGCATGGTCCAGCAGCCACCCAACCAAGGCTTCCACGCCTAGGAGCAAGCACACACAGCACAACCACAATGAGGACCACAGCAACTGCGTGCCCAAGGGGCCTCTGACACTAGTATTTCAAGGGAAGCCTACAAACAGAAGGGTAGGCACATTACGTCAAACACCCATAGGGAAAATACAGTACCTGGCAAGCCAGAAGCATTCCCAGAGGCACCAGTGAGTGACTTGAGAGCAAACTCTATGTTTCTTCTAGGAAATCCCATCTCCATGAGCTGAACTACAATGGGCAGAACAGGACCCGGAGACTGCTTGTGCTTCCTCGCTCTGCCTGGGCGAATATGCTGCACAGTGACAGGGGTCGTGGCCTCACTGGAGCCGCAGTCTTCAAACGCAGGGCTCAGTGGGTGGGCAGACTCCACAGCCAGACACTGACACACAGCCAAGGCGGCAGCCTGCGCAAATGAAGGCAGAGTTTGTAAATCAGGGGACTAAGGAGTCCAGGGAAATGCAAAGTACAGACTACTATGACAAACTGCAGTGCAGAAATATAGAAACCCAGGCTTACATGTGTATTTTTAAATGAATGGATAAAACATGTTTAAAAACAAAAAGATCTTCTTGACCCGAATACAGGTTTCTCAGGAGACAGGCAAGATAGTCTGGTATTCCCGTCTCCTTAAGAGCTTTCTACAGTGTTATGATCCACACAGTCAAAGGTTTCAGCATAGTTGATGAAACAGGGGTGCGTGTTTTTCTGGAATTCCCTTGCTTTCTCTATGATCCAGTGAATTCTGGCAATTTGATCTCTGATTCCTCTGCCTTTATTAAACCCAGCTTGGATATCTGGAAGTTCTTAGTTCACATAATGCTAAAGCCTAGCATGCAAGATTTTAAGTATGACCTTACTAGCTTGGGAGATGAGTGCAATTTTCCAATGGTCAGAACATTTTTAGTACTACCCTTCTTGGGAATCAGGATGAGGATTGACCTTTTCCAGTCTTGTGGCCACTGCTGGGTCTTCCAGATTTGATAATAATTATGAATTTTGCTCAAAATATTCTTAAAAACTGTTTGAGGACCCTGGAGAAAACAGGAATGGGGCAATCTTGAGCACAAGGGAAGCCCACAGGGAAGTTGCTACCAGGGGCAGTGTCCCTGGACGGCGGCCTGCCAGCGCAAGGACAGGTGAGGGAGAGCCACAACACGCGCAACTGCAAATCCTTGGCTGACTGCAAAATGGAGGCTATGTGAGACTGAAGATCCCAGCCAAAAGAAACTGCTGGAAGACCCAGTGCTAAGAAGATGGTGTGCCATCCTAGTCCAACGAAGTTTCAGCATTTTGGTCAAGATACAAAGGTTTCCAGGAAGAGGTTCTAAATCTCTCAGAATTAGAGACTAGGAACTAGCACTAAGGGGAAAACAACAAATCATCACCAGAAAGTCTAGAACCAACCTCCTTAAGACTGAAGTAAACTACCAGGTACTGAACCATCTACAAAAGAAAATAAAAGACATTCACACAGAGCAATAAAATGCCACCTGAATTTCCATCAGGATCAAGGGAGAGGGGCTTCCCTAGTGGTCCAGTGGTTAAGAATCCACCTTGCAATGTGGGACACCAATTGGATCCCTGGTCCGGGAAGATCCCACATGCCATGGGGCAACTAAGTCCGTGGGTCAAAGCTCCTGAGCCAGGGCACTAGCGCCTGCAAGGCACGACCACTGAAGCCCTCCCACCTACAATGTACTCCCCAACAAGGAAAGTCATCGCAACGAGATGCCCACAAACCGAAACCAAAGACAGCCCACGTGCAGAAATGACCCACCACAGCCAAATAATGAATAAATAAATAAATCTTAAAAAAAAAAAAAAAGAATCAAGGGAGACAAAACAACCGTAGCTCTCTCTCTGGTACAAGAGCCCTTCCTGATTCACAAAGGACAACTCTAGGTCTACTTGTTTCCTCCAAGTCTTATTTTTCCCTCAACTCTGGGCACCTCCCAGCATGGCTCTGGGCTGCAACTGCTCAACACCCTTTTCATTGATTAGCTCCTCATTCCTGTGCGTCCTGTTTTTATCTGACAAATGACTTGCAACATTGCCTTGCAGCAACTGTAACCCCATCTCCCATCCCAGGTTTTCAGACCTAAGGAGTAGTCGGCACTCGGACCTGGTCTGAGAACACCTGGCACCCTCCTCCCCTGGTGCCTCCATGCCCAGGGTTTCCTCAAGAATCCCTTTGCACCCAACTGGCTTCCCAACTCACTCTGGATGTGGGCTCCCCACCGGGTCTTAGACTCTGAGTATTCTACTAGGGTATTTTCCACCTGCCATATTGTCTGCTCAAGATTTTACTCCTGTCTTTGATATTTTTTTTCAGAATGTTTAATATAGTACACAGCAAAAAAGATTTTTTAAAATATCTAGTCTTCCATGTGGTGGGTCACACTCAGTCCTGATCAGGTCTCTTCCATGGGAACACGCCCACAGGCCCCCTCCTCCTCAGCCCACCATGTGTGCGGTGCAGGGCACATGCTCCAAAACAGGGTGTTGGCTGAGAGCCTGGGCAAGTTCGAGAAAGGCTTTGGAGTGAGTGAAACAAATGAACAAGCACCATACAGTACTCCTAGGTCTAACAGGGCTCTTTCAATAATAATATTTCCTGGAAAAAGATCCCTCCACAAATACTTGAGCATTAACTCATGATGAACCTAGTTAATTTTTACAAACAATTCACAGAAACTCAAAATAAGATTAAACTTTTAACTCGTTCACTTTCTGACTAGTATCACAGTGCTCTATGACAGACACGGTTAAAACCTACCTAGTCGTAAGAATTATTTTGGCATACCTTTTAAAAATCAAACCATATCCTTAAGAAAATACACTTCTGGCACACACACACACACAAAAGCTGTTTACAGTTTAACGCAGCAGATGAAAACGACCAGGTCTACGGACTGTACCTCAAGCTCCTGCTTGTCGAATATGGCCTTCACGGGAGACGGCTGGGTGGCCGAGGCCAGCAGCTGCTGCACGAGGGTCACGGGGGGCTGCGGCCCCTCAGGAGACAGGTCCCCAAGGTCAGGGGACACGGCCGCTCCGTCATCTGAGTTTAAAGACAAGACACGGGTGACACGCGTCTTCAACCACAGACGTGCACTAATCATGCTAAACCAGATACGCTTTCTACCTGATCAAGCATGAGACAAGCAAAACCTTCAAGGCTTTTTCACTCCCTACTTTCTGGCCTCAGTCCTTCTTTAATTCATCTGTCTGTGTCTTTAAAGCCAACCAAAGCAACTTCCCAGATTACTGCCCTTAGTCCAGTTCTCTGCCTTTGCCATCTTGGTGTACACTCATTTCTGCAGAAACCCCTTCTATGAAACGCCCAAGTATGTATCTCCAGCCCAAGCTTTTGTTAACCCTTGTTCAGACTATAAACTGACACCAAACCCAAATATGACTAGGGGTTGTAAATCTTCTCAAAGTGCCAGAGAGTAAACAGTTTAGGCTTACTGACCATAGGATCTGTCACAGCTACTCAACTCTGCCACTGAAATGTAAATGCAGCCAGAGATGACGTAAACAAGCTGGTGCAGCTAGTGGCTATGTTCCCATAAAACTGGATAAGACAGGTGGCTGTGGCGTTTTCCTTAAAGCCCTGTTCCACACAGCTCCATCTGGGGCCCCTGTTCTGCCCCAAGTGCGGGATGGTAATCCTGATTCAGTGCTGCCATAGTTCCTAGGTGGGATAACCACAGAACAGTCAATCAATATCCTGGCTCTGGTTTCCTAATCCTCTATAGTTGTGGATTATCTTCAAGGTCCTTAATGTCTAATACAGAATGAATCTGCACTTTCATTATGTTTACTTCATATTCAGGATGCTATAATTAAATTCCTAAGTCAAGGAAACTTAACTCTTGAGTTAAGGAAAAACACCACATACTCCACTGGACTTTCTAATTTTGTCAACAGCACTCCTCCCTGTCTTCCCTATAACTCGAGCTTGAAACATTAGCCACCTTTGACTTTTCAATGATTTTCCAAGAGGTCATCATCTAAAAAGACTACAGCATCACAGTCTCTACTGGTACTTTCTTTCCATTTTTTCATGCCTTCCCTTGGAAGACACTTTATCACTTGACACAATTTCCCCATCTCCATGATCTCCCAGTTTCAAATACTCCTATAACTCACTACCATATTTGTCATCCTGAATATCCTCCTTACCATGTGAGGCCCTGCCACATATTCCCAGTCAGCCTGACATTTCACCCTGGCAGCCACTGCACTCTATCACATGATTCACTGACCTCTCCCCAGCTTTAGCCCCATATTCATCAATAAGTCCTGAGATCCTTGCAAAGGTCAGTACTGAAATATTCACTGCCTACGCCTCTGCTCCTACTGTCTCCTCCCCCAAGATGGAAACTCCTTACCCCTGCAGCCAGGGGCTGCATACACCCCAAATGCTGCCCGCTCTCCCCAGTCCTCAGCTCCAGCACCCCAGGATGCCCGTGAAACTGTGCTCACACGTCTTACAGCACACAGGCCCAGACCATGGACAGTGCCATCTACTTTCATTTTCTCTCGGCACCCTGACTTCAGACAGTAAATCATAAACAAGGACGATCTTGTTTTCCATAATATTTACCACAATGTCTTTCAAAAGGAGATAATAAAAACATATTTCATAGCTTTTTTTTTTTTCTATTCAAAGTGAAATGAGCTCACTCCAGAAAACTGAAGTAATACAGAAAAGTACAAAAAAAATAAAGTCAGATGAAATTCTACTAACACTATTCTGGTAAGCAGATGAATGCAAATCTACAAACATATGTACAGCAATATCTTTTTATCATTTTGATGTTATTATGGTATTAAACCTATATATGTATCATCATTTGTGAATGGTGCCATGGTATCCCACTACATGGGTACACCACCTAATAATGGGCATTCAGGTGTCAGCACAAAAATAATACCAACAAAAAAAGCTATAATGAGCATCTGGAAACATGTAACACGTGTTTACAGATGAGATGTAAAAAGATGTCAGCACCATGACATCATTTCATGTGATAAATTCCCACACAAGACAAATTGTTAAGCAATGAATATACAAATGTATGTATTTTAAAGTCTAATGTCTACTCAAATGCCTGTTAGATGGTTGTACCAACTTAAATCCCCACTAGCATAGCAAAGTATTAGGGTGGTGCCACTCTATGGACATATGAACCACTTTACCGCCTTATTAAAGATGCAGATCCTCATTTTTTAGCTCTGGGTGCAGCCTGAGAGTCCACATTTCCACATGTTCCTCTTAAGTGTCATCAATGCTACTGGTCCTCAGGCCACATCTCATATAATGGGGCAAGAGAACACTGTTTCCCTCCCTCCTCACCAAATCCCCTCAGGTTTGTCTATCACTTTTCATCAGTTACTGGCCAGATTGCACTTCTTCCTTGTACATGCAGATGCCATCTGTATTTTCCCTTTCATGCCCCTTGCCTGTTTTCTATTGGAGTATGCCTTTCTCACAGATCCAGAAGAGCTCCTTAAAAAGATACCTGAATGGGCAGCTGCAGCCTCCTGAACAGCGGGCTGAGACAAGATCTGCCTGAGCTGGTCCTGGTGGGAAAGCAGAGCGCGGCCCGCCTTCAGAATATACAGCTTTAACTGCTGGCACCTCAGCAGGTCCAAGTCTACTTGTCCTGTGGGGAAAAAAGGACTGAGCAGGGAGGCACATGCTGCGTGGGCAACCACCCCAGCTGGTGTTCAGCCCTGAGGAGGTCCTGCCCGGGGGACTCAGCTGACCAGTCAGAGTCTGTCTGCAGGGCAAGCCCTGCCGTCCCTGTGCTGTGGGAGGCACGCCCTACCTCCCCAGGTCTCCTCCCCTTCTTGCTCCCCACGCATTGCCTTGGGGAGGGGTGACAATCAGACGGCTTAACACAGCTAGAATCATGTTAGCTATGCTGCGTGAGTGCTCAGCCACTCTCTTGTGTCCAACTCTTTGCAACCCCATGGACTGTAGCCCACCAGGTTCCTGTCATCATGGGATTATTCAAGCAAGGACACTGGAATGGGCTGCCATTTCCTTTTCCATAACTATCACTAGTATAATCAAATATTTCCTAAATTGCTAAAATTTCAACCAGATACCACTTTCTTGTCTTGCCAAGACATCTATGAGACAATTTTATCAGAGACTTACAACATACAGTTCTATAACTCATCAAAATCATGGCACTCTCTAGAATCTTGGGGCTTCCCTGATAGCTCTAGAATTTTATCTAATCCAACAACGGCAGTAATGTCCCTGAGTTGACTGAGGAACAGCCTAGGGAAGCCACTACAAAGATATAGGCAGCCCACAAGAAGACTGAGACTATAGTCATAGCTGCAGCATTACAAAGCAAGACATGCTAGAGGTCATGGACAGCAGCATGGAGCTGTGGGCATGTGGGATAGGAGGGCATGGAAGAGTGAGCGGTGACACTGGGGCACCAAGCTCCAACACCTGGCAGACAGGTTTATTCACTGTGACAGGAAACACTGGCTAAGGGACAAAGTTAGCTGAATTGTGGACATGCCATGGTTTACTTGCACCTGACCCTCTAGCCAGATATGTGAACTGGAGATCCAGAGTTAAAAGTGTTCACTATCATTAATCCTACAGCAGCAATTACAGGGATGGGATAAATGGGTGAGAAAACTCAAGAAGAGTGGCCCTAAAGAGCTAGAAATTATGGATGAAACCACAAGGATTTCCAATGTGCAAAGAATAGTCAGGGAGAAGAACTCTCAAAGAACATGTGAGCAGCAATGTAAAGAAAATCAAGACAGCAGTGGAAGAGGAGTACGAGTGGCCTTGGTCTTGCGTGGGTGGCCAGCATCCAGATGCCAAGTGAGGTAGGACGAAGCACGCAGGCCCTGCTGGGTATGGCTGTCACGAGGCCAGAGGCAGAGGTCCCAAGGTGTGATTAAGACGGGGTTAGTGGGCAGTGTGAGAGAAAACAGACTCCTCTTCAAAAAGTGTGTTCAGAATATACGCTGGCCTGGTGCTCCCCAGGTGCCACCCCCACCACAGCATCATCCTTTGTATCACACACTCTCATCACCACTCCCACCATCGCTCAACCAATGGCCAATCCATCTGAACACAAAGGCTTCAGCAATGAAAGAACTTACTCTGACAAAAGAACAGACATTGCTCAAACACTAGTTAAGACTGTAGCTGTTTCATCATGAAGCACATGTACTGACCTGCAAAACCCTGTTTAGGTGATTTCTTTATTTTGTGCTTTTCCAATTTGCTTCCAGCGAGGTTCACCAACTGAGCCCAGACCGAGAGCATGGGCTCTGTGAAGGGCAGGTTGGTGACACTGAACGCTGCGGCGGGAAGCTGCAGGAAGAGCACAGAGACCTTCAAAGTGTGTCCAGTGAGAGGAACGAGCGAGCATTCTCAAAGTCAGCATGGCCAGGAATCTCAACTCTAAAATCACACATGGACTCAAAACTGCTATTACATCTGAAAACAATGTTGAAAGATGACCCTGAACGTAAGATAAAGACCTACGTGTATAGTAAATATAACCTAAATTAATTTTTTCTTTGTCAACTTTTTAACAATAATTACATGATGGTGGTAGTTATTCTCAAGTATTTTCTATACATTTCAAATTTTCTATGAGATGCATATATTCCTATAATAATCAAAAACAGTATTTTATTGAAACATACAGTAAAACGGCACTTTTTCACTTTCACTTAGGTTACACAAAGTAACATAATTCACTCACTTTCCAGTGGACCCCCAGTTCACAGATTTAAGATGACAATACCTGCTAAATATAGTCATGTCACTCAACACAGTAATTAAGCATTTTCTACATGAAAAAAGATCATCATTTTAAAGAAATCATTTTTAGGTTTTTTCAAAGTTGAGTTGTTCAATAAAAAATAAATTTCATAAATTCACATTCTAAAATAAATACAACTAATATACTTACACAAGACCTTGTAACTAACTAATGCCCTTTCATGTCTTTAAAGGCTAAAATAAGACACATGAACTGGTAATCTATACAACCCTGTGGGACCCGATTAACCACAGGAATGGAATGCAAACAGAGCGATAAAGGCAGTCTTCCTCAAGTTGGACAGCTACCTTGAAGGCAGACCCAACTACAAGAACCAAGTTCCTCCCGATTCTAACATAAAAGCCCTTCACCTCCCCACCTAGCAACATGAACACAAGCACACTCACTGGCTTCAGCTGATTCAGCGGGCAAACACGACAGGTTCGCAGGTCACAGAACTGCACAGTGATTCTGCCCTTCGGAGTGATGCGAGTCACCGTGCCTTCTCCAAAGTCATCATGCAGGACTTGTCCCCCGAGCCGCACCCGGCCATCAATGCCGCCAATGACCGCCAGCACTGCCATGAGGCTGCCCACCTCTGGGCTCTCGCCATCAGGAAAGCAGTCATCTAACAGGGCCTAGTGCAGACAGACAGCGAACCTGAGGAGAGCCCAGGGGGCTACCTGTATCTTACACATTCACAATTACGCCAAATTTACTTTTTATATTAGTTTCCTCAATAATTTTTTTCCCAGTAAAAAATATTTTAAAATATACCCATGAACAAAATACATGGCATTTAAAAAGATAACCTGAAAGCCAAATCAACATTGTACAGAGAAACACTACCAGACGTGCAAGAGCGCGCAGCACCCACCCCTTCGGCCGGCTTTCCCGCACAGCTTCGCGTGACCGAGTGGAGCTGGGAGTTGATGTACTTGTTGATGAGGCCATTCCACTGGCCCAGGGCGTGCAGGGTGCGGAGCAGCGCCACCACCTCCTCTGCCAGCGTGCTGCTGTGCGTAGCGGTCAGGGAAGCCTGCGGGCGGGCCCTCCGCCTCCTCAGAGCAGACTCTGCAGAACACACACGAAGGAAGGGCTACATGATGCCCTGCTTGCTCACCCAGGACACCGGGAAGGGGGAGAGCCGCCCACCTCTGAGGAACGGGACATCTGAAGAGCAGGTGGTGAGCAAGCTGCCCAGGAAACCGAAGAGCTTTTCCACAAGGCACTCCATGTCCCTGGCCCGCTCTGTCTTGTCCCATGACGGCAGCACTGCTTGCAGTAAATGCACAGCTAAGATCTGATAAAGGTGATTGAAAACAGCAAGTATTAAAGAAAGCCGTTATCTGACAGATTGTGAGGTAAAAAGATTTTAATTTTTGTTCCTGCAATGCAATTAATCGTGTGAAAATTCTAATATTATTTTACAGCCACATAATTACCTGAAAGTTGATTAATAATATGAATTATCAGGTTAAAAAAATAAGCTACATTACACATGCAGATACTCATTTAATTAAAAAATAATTTCTTTAGTTTAAATCTTCTCAAGACAAGTATACCACCACTATGGTGAAGATGAGAGCAGCTGGTCATAGAAAAGCAACTCATCTAAGGCTTAACAACTTCATCAATTTAAAATAATCAATATCTTCAGCCTCTTGTCTCAGGGACTCTGAGGTGGCCCTAGTGGTAAAGAACCTGCCTGCTAATGCAGGAGACATAAGAGACACAGGTTCAATCCCTGGGTTGGGAAGATCCCCCAGAGTAGGAAGTGGCAACCACTCCAGTATTCTTGCCTGGAGAATCTCTATGGACAGAGGAGCCTGGCAGGCTGCAGTTCAAAGGGTCACAAAGCATTGAAACAACTGAAGAGACTTAGTATGCACTGGTATCTAGAAAATCCACCGTGTTAGTTCTTCTGTGCACTCAGGAACCTAGTTATGATGCCAGCCTGATGCCAACGCTGATGGGGCTCCCAATCCCAAAACCCACAGTGAGCGTGGACCAGTGGGGCAGCAGTTACCTGGCGCTGCAGGGAGGCAGCGGTGAACGGTGAGTGTCCCTCCACGACCCTCACGAGCAGCGAGATCCAGGGCGGGGAGCTGAGGGCCGCGCACATGTGCGGGGTGAGGGCGATGCTGCGCACGAAGCCCAGGGTGCACCAGCTCCGGTGCTGCTCCCTGCACACCAGCCTGCTGGGGGAGGCTGGCAGAGCGAGACCGGTCAGCTCACACCCACCTTCCAACAGGGAGCACTCAGAACAGCCTCTGCCTTCAACTCACCTGCATCACTTATTTTCAATGATAAGCTCCTTTACAAATCTACTACAATGTCACTGACTCTTCAGTGAGAAGAACAGAGTACTTGCCAGTTAACTCAAGGAACACGTTACATTTTAAAATCTCTAAGGGACATGGAGTAATTCACACTCATTAAGGAATTTCATCTACGTACTGTCTCTAAGCAGGAGGAAAACAATCTACAATTCAAATAGCAGTTATCTATGGGAGAGCAAATACCACAGTTTGTGAATTTCACATGTTTTAAATATTCCCCATGAGCTCGTTTATATTTAATCTGCATTATAAATTCCCAGCCCAAGTTTTAAGAAGGCTGTATTACTAGAAAAAGAGTAAGAGGTTTTTATGAGACAGTGACCCTGTCTGCTCCTCCAGGGTCTCCACTCTTGGACACCTGGGGCTTCCACACTCTCCTGGCTGGGGGCATGCCACGTGACCTGCTCAGATACCAGACTAGCTCCCCTTCCCCAGTCCAGCGATCCTGCTCGCCAGGGACACCATTCTTCAGACACACACCCACTCCACTCACTCAGTCACTCTCACCCACACATAAGCACAGGCCCCACCACATCAGACACCACTCTCACAGTGGTGTCTCGCTCACACAATCAAACTCTCAAACATAACCAATTACAAACATTCACACTCAATCTCAAACTCACACATGTTTACACACTCACACCTGCATGCACACACACACACCTGCATGCACACACACACACCTGCATGCACACACACACACCTGCATGCACACACACACATTCGCTCCAATCACTTCCTCAACTTCTCCCACACTTATACACTCATTCACATACTCAAACACTTTGGTAGACTGAATTGTACCCTCAAAATTCATGTTCACCCAGAGTCAGATGTGGAAATAAATTCTTCACAGATATAATTAAGGTCAAGATTGAGATGCTATGATACTAGATGAGGGTGAAAGCACTTATTATAGGGAGAGAAGAAAAGGGGAGGCATTCACGTAAAGCTGAGGCAGAAACTGAAATGATGTGACCATACACCTCACTTCTGAAGCCTGGAGGTACAAAAGCGAAAATTCAGGGTCTTCCCCCAGAGTGTCAGAAGGAGCACGCCTTGATTTTGGACTTCTGCTATCTAGAATTCTGAGAGAGTGAAGTTGTCACTTTAAGCCTTTGTTAAGAGTTGAATTATGTTCCCCCACAATTCACATGTTGGAGTCCTAATCCTTAGTACCTCAGAATGCGACCTTGTTTGGAAATAGACGCACCAAGTTTAGATGAAGTTAAACTAGATTAGGGTGCATCCTTAATACAATGTAACTGACATCCTTATAAAAAGGAGAAATCTGGAGACAGATACACACAGGGAGAATGCCATGTGAAGATGAGGGATGCCAAAGGGAAGATGAGGGAAGCCAAGGAATGCCAAAATATTGCCAGCAAACCATCAGATGTTAGGGAGGGCCCTGGAACAGATCCTGCCCTCAGACTCATAAAAAAGAACTTGACCTGCTCATTCTTTGATTTTGAACTTCTAGCCTTCAGAACTGTGAAGAAGTAAATTTCTGTTATTGAGACTGCCCAGGCTGTGGTACTCTGAAGTGGCAGGTCATGTCTGTGGTACCATGTATACCTGTAAAGTGTACCACACCAAAAGTTGAGTTCCACTGTGAACTACTGGCTGTGGGTGCTAATGATAAATCAACGCAGGTTCATCAACGGTAACAAATGTACCACTGTGGAGGGTGATGCTGATAATGGAGAATGCAGCTACCATGTTTGTGGTAATTCATTACAGCAGCCTCACCACACCGACACATACCCCCACAATCACCCACACACACACCCCCAAACTGACAGCCCAGTTCTGACTCTACGGCCCACAACTCTCCACTGCATACATGTCTTGTCTGTTGTTCCACTCTCCACCAACATTCGTAGCAGCCCACAGAGGGTCTTTGTGGCTTCGCTCTGCATAACTTCAGCATGGACTCCAGCAGAAAGACAAAGAGTTTGCAGTAAATTAACAGTGCTGGTAAGCATCATTGCAGTGGGGTGAATATTCCTTTCAATTTGTTCAGCTTCTGAAAAAAAGAGTCAAAATAAGGAACTATACTTCCAAATAAACTAGAAAATGCCTCTACGTGTAACTTAAGGGATTTAATGTCACAAACTTCTTCTCTTACTGTAGAAAGGTAAGCAGTTCTTTACATTAAAGATGGAATTCAGGATGCACTGAACACTCACCCTAATCGAAGGGAATAAGACTTTTCAATTACAGCTCAATTTTCGAAAGCAATCTCATCCTACAGCTCAAAAACACTAAAACAATTTCAAGGATTCATTCTTTAGAAAAACAACTTAAACGTCAGAAGCTGGCTGCCGATAAGCTGGCTGTGCCCTGGACAAGTATGAGGTGGGTGCTTCCATGGAAGGGAAGCCAGCTGCGCACATGTACAGATCACTGGATCTTTGATAAGGAATACACGTGGAACCGGACCAGCTTCTGTCACTTGGCCAACCCTGCTCAGGCCCCGACTTCACAAGTGAAACCCCCTGGCAGAGAGGCAGGAGTAGGGAAAACTGTCAGATGCAGTGATAACAAATCAGCATCGACTACCCAGGTGGGGCCACACAGCTTCCCGTGTGCTGCCCCTGATGTGCGCCAGACAGGCATCATCAGTTTCTATTCTGACATGCACAGAGCAGCCTGCACACACCATGGGCACAGAACACCCAGCCCACCTTCCACACCACCCTTTCTCTAGGGACTCAAGTCTCTCGGCTTTTCTCTCCTAACCATAAAAGTGATCTTGGGAGCCTGCCATGCTATGCATACAGCAGACACCTGAGCCCCCCACATCAGTGCCAGCCTCCTGGACAGTCTCACCAAGACTGGTATCCCAAGGCCTTTCAGACATGTCTGAAAAATGTCATGAAGCCCTCCTCCTACAATCCTGCCTCTTAATAGATAGGATATAACTTTCTGAGGTCACCAAATTCTCACCTTCATTTTAAGGAAGGCAGTAAAGTACTGACTAACTGCACACTGTGTGACATATTCTGCGAGAAGATGAAAGAAGGAAAAACGCATGCTTCAGGGCATGGTACGGCAATGTCCACGACATGAGGCACAGGCTTGGGGGTCCCCAGGACACCCAGCAGAGAAGAGGCACAGCAGGCTCTATGCCACTTCACCTGCCCCCACCACACCATGGCCAAGAGGAACAGGAGCTATCCTGCTCCTGGGCCTGTTTCAACCAGGCCTTCATGGAAAGCTTGCCCCCAGAAGGAAGGACAGCCGGCACACACGCACAGCTGCCAGGGCCCCAGACACCCACCGGAGCCGTCCTCCGTGTCCGAGTCCTCCGCGGACGGCGGTGCAGAGACCGGGGGCTCCGCCAGCTTCAGGTCGTACTTGCCCTCCTTCCCCATTCTGTAAGAGTTGGTGCTGCCGGTGTCCCACTGCACCCGGATCCAGCCGTCCTCCCCAAGCTCACCGATCACACGGCCCAGGCCGGGAGGGGGTCCGTCCTGAGGGGGCCAGAGCACAGACGGGTCAGGGGGGCACAGGCCTCTCACGGAGCATGGCCTGAGGGGGGCTGCACAGACTTCAGGTCAGCGGAGGGCTCCAAGCCCGCCTACACACAGAGCCTACTTCATCACTGCAGAAGTGACGCCCACACCCCTAACGAAAGAGGTAGGTGGGGAAAGAACCACCTCACTTAGCACCCTCTGTAAGCCAATGCAGACAGCTGACTTTCCAGCCTGCTTCTGCCACCCTGCTCACTGGCCCCCCTGATCCCTCATGGGGCTTCACAAGGTTGGGAACCCCAAACAAGCACCATTATCTTCTCATTCCCTTTCAGTCCTCAATTTTCCCTCAAATCTTAAGACTGAAACTCTACTTCTAATTTCTACGAGCAGAAGCTGTTTTCAGCATGCTGCTAAATTCTAGATACACTGATTTCTGAGAGGTTCTCAGAAGCTACATGCTTAAGAGTGAAGCTGAAAAAGCCTGGACGTGACAAGCATGCTCCACGTCACAGGAGGATGAGCACTGGCCTAGGCAGTCACTGCAGTAACGGCACAGGGCCCAGTCCCAACCTCCTCTCAAGGAGACCTGACACACATGGGAGCAAGGTGCGGGGGGCGAAGGGGAAGGACGGACACTGCCCACGCAGGTACCTGTAGCTGCTGCGTCAGGACACCTAACTGGCACCTGGCCATCAGCTCACAGAGGCAGGGTCAGAGCTTCCACAACATGATTATTCAGATGTGGTTTACTCTCTCCTGCTCACCCTCACTCTTGCTCCAGGCCTCAAGTCAAGCCTAGGCCAGGAGTTTCCCAAAACAAGCAGCTACTCCTCCAAGATGTGGTCCTGTTTAAGGGCCCTGGAGCAGGCAGCTGCTTTTCTCTACTGGTTCTGAGATTCTATTCACCCACCCAGGAATCGGTAACTACATCACCTGTCGATCACACCTGTCTTTGAGTGTAGGTATTTATTCCAGTTTCCACCCACTCATCGCATGCAGGTCAGGATGCGCAGAAGGTGACTAATGTATGGCTAATGCGTTTAACTCAAATCTCTAAGGACCTGATCACCCCATTTCCAGTCCACGCCTCTCATGACCCTGGTTCCAATCTTCATCATGGCGGCCAACTCTGGCCCTGAAACTGGCAGCTGTACCGGGGCTGTTTCCTTCCGCGTCTCTTCCAAAACTGTAGCAGAAGCTCCTCGGGCAGAAGCATTCATGTCTTCTTCAACATTATCACAACTAGGGCCTACCAGAGCATCAGAAACAGCAGATGAACAAATTAAGCAGTTAAGTATTAATGAAGATGATAATTTAAATAATCTACAGTGTAGTTTTTACCAATAAAACAAATACCATGAAAAATTTACTGATGAGAACTAAGACTTTTAAAAGGTAAGGAGAGGACAAAATATATAAATATGTATTAGAAATACGTATAAGATTTTAGAAATTCTCAGAAAAGATATTTACTCTATCTCCAGGAATTATGATCCACTCCAAAAAGCAAAAAGGATTAGAGAGACACTCATTACTCATATTTTTATTAGACCAGGAAAACAAATGATAACCATCTAAATGTTTAACACTGTGAGAAATTAACAAACTTTAATTATGGTACTGTGAAGAAAAGAGCTGATAAAGAAGGCCTGATACTGCTGTCCCCAGAAAAGACTGTTTACAGGGCTAGCCCTCAGCTGGCCTTCGGGAACCTGGGTTTCGTGAAGGCTCCCATCAGTCCTTAACAGCCAAGAAGCCATTCCTGGGCCTAAACTGCACAAACACCATGGTCTCTGCTAAAATCTGCTTCTTTCCGGGGGGTCTGAAGCTTACTCAAGGGCCAGGCAGAGACGCCTACATGACCTGCCAGTGAAAGCCCAGGAGGCCAAGTCTCCACACCCTGTACGTAAAGACAACACTTTGCATTGTGGTCACAACTCTCTACTAGGTGAACTACGTGCACTCTGCGTGTCTCCACCAAGACAGGATAAGTGTCCGGTCTGTCTCACACTTTACCTATGTGCCACGGCTGATTCTGCTTTCCACTCTTTCACTGTAACAAACTTTAGCCCTAAGCATGACTATAGCTGGAGTCTTGTGAGGCCTTCGAGCAAATCATTAAAACCAGAGGTGGTCTTGGGAACCATGACACAGGGATGGCAGCAACAGGATTTGCTAGAACAATGCGGACTCACTCAAATATTGCAAAACCATTGTCCAGTACAAGAGAAAATGAAGGAGTAGGACATGATGAAAATTTGGTCCCTGGCGGCCATGGAAACACTCACAGTATAAAATAGAAGCTGAGCTGTAATCTGTTAGAAGTAAAATTTACCAATGTATTTGAAAACAGTAAATTTAACCCCAGGAATCAGCATGCTGGCCTGAGGGAGTGGTATGCACACCCCTGGTAACCCTGTGGTTTTTGTTCTCTCTCCAGGTAGGACAGAAAAGGGCCCCAAACCTTCCCAAAGACGGGCCTGGTTGGGTGAAAAATTTAAAGTTTATATTCTGCTCTCCTCCAAGAAGGAGGAAAAAAAAAGTTGTTCAATTCCCAGGTCAGGAGTAAAGCTTTAAATAAACTAGAGGGAAAATAGTCTTTTCCTCAACCTGGGAGTGCCTCTGTGAGGCCCAAGAAGGGGCGGGGGTTCCATTCTAGCTGGTATCTCTCCAAGCAGCTATAATGTTAACACTGTAAATGCTGAATTTGCTGCTAAGAATTTGATTACATTTTGCAATAAGGAAAAAAGGAGAATCTTTTTTAAAGTGATTTGTATTTTGTGGCTATTGTACGTGGATGTATACAGAAAAATTAATATAAAATATTATATGCTAATGATTTCTTATATGAAAGAGAATCGCCTTGATTAGAGAAAGCAACAAAGATAGATATGTACTCATTGAACACAACTCCCTGGCTTTTCACAGTCAGTACTGTTAACAGAGGAAGCCCCCATAATTAACAATTTGTGTTCTGACTTTTATCTATTGGAGTCTCTGGAAAAAAACGGAGACAACAGGAAAATAGAGGCAACCTTAGAGGAAGATATACTTTCAAGATTTTTAAAAGCAATGTTTAGTTGCTAATGAGGTCCACAGAAATCAGACGCTGACTCAGAGTCTGGTGCATATTTCTGAATGGGTCCCGTGGGCACAAAGACTGGCAAAATCAAATTGCTTAGGAAAGCTTTGCTCTTTGATTTGGATTTAGAACACTGGCCCTGCAGTATCTAAAAAATTTCAGCAAAGAACAACATTATAAATTAATCAGATTTACCAGACATGAAGAGACACTCTATACAAAAACAGCAGAAAACACACTCTTTCCCCAGGTGTTCACAGAGAACACCCTCCAAGAGAGGTAGCATTCAGGTCACAAAACGATGAACTGAAAGATACTAAAATCATCCTCGTTATATTCTCTGATCACAGTGGAATGGAACTAGAAATTATAACAAAAGCTAGAAAAGTCATAAGTGTGTGAAAACTAAACAACACACAAGTATGTAAAAACTTAACAAGACAAAGAAAGAAAAATCATAACCAAAAGTAACACTTTGAAACAAATGAAAACAAAAACACAATATATCAAAGCTTAAGAGATGCAGCAAAAACAGTACTAAGGAGGAAATTTAAATCTATAAATGCATACTTAAGATCTCAAAACAACTAAACAACTTGACTACACCTGGAGGAACTAGAAAAATAAGAACTAAGTAAACCTAAAGGTAGCAGAAGGGAAATAACAAACACTAGAACAGAGATAAACAGAAAGCAACAGAATCAACAAAACCAGACTTTTTTTGAAAAATGTCAACAAAACTGATAAACTAAGCAGATTAAACAAGAAAAATGAAGATACAAATAAATAAAACCAGAAATGAAAAGTGGGAAGATTGCTACTAATCCTACAGAAATAAAAAGAATCATGAGAGCACTATGAACTGTACACTAATAAATTATTTAACCTAGAGGAAATGGATAAATTCCTAGAAACACTGAAATTACCTGACCTGACTCAAGTAGAATATGTGAACAGACCTAAAACAAGTGAAGACATTGAATCGCTAATCAAATAGCTATCAACAGATTGAGAGGCTTTCCCCGTTGCTCAGTGGAACAGAATCCGCCTGCCAATTCAGGAGACATGGGTTCAACTGTTGACCAGGAGAGACTCCACATGCCTCAGAACAATCAAGCCGTGCGCCACAACTACTGTGCCTGGGAGCTGCAACTCCTGGCCCTGTGCCGCCACTGCTGAAGCCCACATGCCTTGGGCCTGCGCTCTGCAAAGAGAAGCCCCACAGGGCAAATGGAGAGCGGCCCTCGCTATCCACAGCCCGAGAACAGGCCAAGCAGCACAGCCAAAAGTAAATAAATAAAACCTCTCAACAACAACAAAAAACCAGGACCATCTGGCTTAACTGGTACCAGACACTAAAGAATCAACACCAATTCTCTCTAACTCTTTCAAAAACAGAACAAGAGGGAACTACTCACTAACTTACTCAATGAGGCCAGCATTACCCTGATAACAACAAAAAAAAAACCATACAGATCACCAGCCCAGGCTGGATGCATGAGACAAGTGCTCAGGGCTGGTGCACTGGGAAGACCCAGAGGGATGGGATGGAGAGGGAGGTGGGAGGGGGGATCGGGATGGGGAACACATGTAAATCCAAGGCTGATTCATATCAATGTATGGCAAAAACCACTACAATATTGTAAAGTAATTAGCCTCAAACTAATAAAAATAAATGAAAAAATAAAATAAAACTATTGAAGTCATGTAAAACTAAAAAATTAATAAAATATTGCTAAAAGAAATGAAAGAAGACCTAAACAAATATAAAATAATCTCATATTCATGTAATAAAAGACTTAATATTGTTAAGATGGCAGTACTCCCCAAAAGGACCTACAGATTCAATACAATCCTTTAAAATCTCAATGGCCTTTTAGCAGACATGGAAAAGCCAGACCTGGAAGTCATATGGAAATGCAAGGAACTAGAAATAACTAAAATAATTGTGAGAAAGAAAAAGTTGAAAGACATATCTGTCCATTTTAAAACTTACCACAAAGCTTTTATCAGAGTGTTCAAAACAATGTGGGATTAGCATGGTGACAGACACATAGAACAACACAAACAAAACTAGATTCTAGAAATTAAGTTAAATAGCTACAGTCAAGATGATTTTTGACAGGGTGCTAAGAATTTGAGAACAGTCTTTCCAAAAAATGATACTGAAACAATTGGATAACCAAAAAAGTAATAAAGGGAACCCTCATCTCACATCATATTTAAAAAATCATCTTAAAGAGGATCATAAAACTAAATACAAGACTTACTGGAGAAAATATAATGGGTAATCCTCATGACCTTGGATTTAGCAATGATTTCTTAGACATATCATCAAAAGCACAAGCAACAGAAGAATAATAAGAATACTAATAGATAAACTAGACATTTTATAATTTCTGTAAACCAAATTAAAACAAAACCCAGAATGAAAAAAAAAAGTCCTCTAATCATATCACTGTTAACAATCTAGTATCCAGAATGTCAAAGGACCCCTACAACTCAACAACACACACAACTGAATTTTTAAATGAGCAAAGGACCTGAATAGACATATTTCCTAGATATACAAATGGCCAACAAGCATGGGTAAAGAGGCTAATGTCATTCAGTATTGTGGTTGTTTGGCCACTAAGTTATGTCTGCCTCTTTGTGACCCCATGGACTGTAGCATGCCAGGCTCCTCTATCCTCCACTGTCTCCCAGAGTCGGCTCAAATTAATGTCTATTGAGTCAGTGATGCTATCTAACCAACTCATCCTCTGCCACCCTATCTCCTTCTGCCTTCAATCTTTCCCATCATCAGGGTCTTTTCCAATGAGTTGGCTGGTTGCATCAGGTGGCCAAAGTATGGGAATTTCAGCATCAGTCCTTCAAATGAATATTCAGGATTCATTTCCTTTAGGATTGACTGGTTTGATCTCCTTGCAGTCCAAGAGACTCTCCAGAGTCTTTTTCAGCGCCACAATTTAAAAGCATCAATTCTTTGGCACTCAGCCTTCTTTATGGTCCACCTCTCACATCGGTACACGACTACAGTAAGTTTGTCGGCAAATGACATCTCTACTTTAAAATATGCTCCCTAGTTTTCTCATAGCTTTCCTTCCAAGGAGCAAGAGTCTTTTAATTTCATGGCTACAGTCACCATTCGCAGTGATTTTGGAGCCCAAGAAAATAAAACTGGTCACTGCTTCTACTTTTTCCCCTTCTATTTGCCATGAAGTGACAGAACTAGATGCCATGACCTTAGTGTTTTTTTTTTAATGCTGAGTTTCAAGCCAGCTTTTTCACTCTCCTCTTTCACCCTCATCAAGAGGCTCTTTAGTTCCTCTTCACTTGCTACCATTAGAGCGACATCATCTGCATATCTGAGATTATTGATATTTCTCTCAGCAATTTTTGATTCCTCCAACTCAGCATTTCACATGATGTACTCTACAAGAAAGTTAAATAAGCAGGGTGACAATATACAGCCTTGTCATACTCTTTTATCAATTCTGAATCAAACAATTGTTCCATGTCCAGTGCCAACTTTTTCTTCTTGACCCACTTACAGGTTTCTCAGGAGAAAGGTAAGGTGGTTTGGTACTCCCATCTCTTTTAAGAATTTTCCACAGTCTGTTGTGATCCACAGTCAAAGACTTTAGCAATGAAGCAAAATCAGATGTTTTCTGGAATTCCCTTGCTCTCACCATGATCCAGTGAATGTTGGCAATCTGATCTCTGCTTCCTCTGCCTCTCTGAAACCCAGCCTGTACATCTAGAAGTTCCTGGTTGAAGTCCTGGTAATGGACTTCCCTGGTGGCTCAGACGGTAAAGCATCTGCTTACACTGAGGGAGATCCAGGTTCAATCCCTGGATCAGGAAGATCTCCTGGAGAAGGAAATGGCAACCCACCCCAGTATTCTTGCCTGGAAAATCCCATGGACGTAGAAGCCTGATAGGCTACAGTCCATGGCGTCGCAAAGAGTCAGACATGACTTGAGCGACTTCACTTTCTTTCTTCCTTCCTTTCTTTCTTTCTTTCTTACCAATATGCAAAATGAGTGCAACAGTACAGTAGTTTGAATATTTGTTGGCATTGCTTCTTCTTTGGGACTGGAATGAAAACTGACCTTTTCCAGTCCTGTGGCCACTGAATTTTCTAAATTTGCTGACATAACTGACTGAAGCACTTTGACAGCATCATCTTTTAGGAATTTAAGTAGCTCAGCTGGATTTCCATCACCTCCTCTTGTTTTGTTCATAGTAATGCTTCCTAAAGCCCACTTCACTTCATACTACAGGATGTCTTGCTCTAAGTGTGTGAAAACACCATCCTGGTCCTCCCAGTCACTAATACCTTCATTGTATACCTCTGTGTATTCGTGCCACCTCTTCATCTTTCCAATCTCTTCTGCTTCTGTTAAGTCCATGTCCTTTCTGTCCCTTATCACACCCATCCTTGTATGAAATGTTCCCTTGATATGTATCTCCAACTTTCTGGAACATATCTGTCTTTTCCCATTCTATTTCTTTCCTCCATTTCTTTGCATTATTCATTTAATAAGGCCTTGCTAGTCTGTGGGACTCTGCATTCAGCTGGATATATCTTTCCCTTTCTCTCCTGACTTTCACTTCTTTTCATAGCTATTTGCAAAGCCTCCTCAGACAACCACTTTGCCTTCTGCATTTCTGTTTGGGATGGTTTTGGTCACTGCCTCCTATACAATGTTATGAACCTCTGTGCATAGTTCTTCAGGCACTCTGTCTAGCAGATCTAAACCCTTGAATCTATTTGTCACCACCACCATACAATCATTAAGTGATCTGATTTAAGTCATAACTGAATGGCCTAGTGGTTTTCCCTACTTTCTTCAATTTAAGCATGAATTTTGCTACATGGAGCTCATGATCTGAGCCACAGTCAGCTCCCGGTCTTGTTTTTACTGACTGTATAGAGCTTCTCCATTTTTGGCTGCAAAGAACATAATCAATCTGATTTCAGTATTGACCATCTGGATGATGTCCATGTGTGGAGCTGTCTCTTGGGTTGTTGGAAAAAGGGTGTTTGCTATGATCAGTGTGTTCTCTTGACAAAACTCCAAGGCCATACTTGCCTTTTATTCTGAGTATCTCTTCACTTTCCATTTTAGCATCCCAATCCCCTATGGACATCACTTTTTGGCATTAGTTTAAGAATGCATCGTAGGCCTTCACAAAACTGGCCAACTTCAGCTTCTTTAGCATCAGTGGTTAGGGCAGAGACTTGGATTACTATGATGCTGAAAGGTTTGCCATGGAAGTGAATCAAGATCATTCTGTCATTTTTGAGACTGCACCCAAACACTGCATTTCAGACTCTTTCATTGACTATGAAGGCTACTTCATTTCTTTTAAGGGATTCTTGGCCACAATAGTAGACATAATGGTCGTCTGAATTAAACTCACCCATTCCCATCCATTTTAGCTCACTGATTGCTAAGATGTCCATGTTCATTCTTGCCACTCCTGCTTCACCACATCTGACTTACCTTGATTCAAGGACCTAACATTTCAGGTTCCTATGCAATACTGTTCTTTACAACATCGACTTTTACTTTCACAACCAGACACTCCACACCTGAGCACTGTCTTTACTTTTCCCTAGCTGCTTCATTCTTTCTGGAGCCATTAGTACCTTCCCTCCTCTCTTCCCTGGGAGCATACTGGACACCTTCCAACCTGGGGGGCTCATCTTCTGCTGTCTTATCTTTTTTGCCTTTTCCTACTGTCCATGGGGCTCTCCAGGCAAGAATACTGCAGTGGTTTGCTATTCCCTCCCCAGTAGACCACGTTCTATTAGTACTCTCCACTGTGACATTCTGGATGGCCCTGCACAGCATGGCTCACCACTTCACTGAGTTATGCAAGACCCTTCACCACAAGGCTGTGATCCATGAAACGACACTCAATGTTAGAGACACATAAAACAAATCATAATGAAATATCACTTCACACCAACTTGGGTAGCCTAAATTTAAAAAAAAAAAATCAGAAAATAACTTGTGCTGGCAAGGACATGGAGAAGCTGCAACTCTTGGCCCACTGTGGGTGAAAATGTAAAACGTGCTATTATAGTGCTATGAAATAGTTTGGCAATTTCTGAGCAAGCTGAACATAGGAATACCATGCTGCTAAGTCACTTCAGTCGTGGCCGACTCTGTGCGACTCCATAGATGGCAGCCCACCAGGCTCTGCCGTCCCTGGGATTCTCCAGGCAAGAACACTGGAGTGGATTGCCATTTCCTTCTCAAATGCAGGAAAGTGAAAAGTGAAAGTAAAATCACTCAGTCCTGTCCGACTCTTCGAGACCCCATGAACTGCAGCCTACCAGGCTCCTGCATCCATGGGACTTTCCAGGCAAGAGTACTGGAGTGGGCTGCCTTTGCCTTCTCCAGAGGAATACCATGTGACGCTGCACTTCTACTCCTATGTAAATAACAAAGGGACTGGTAACAAGTTTGCAAATAAAAACCTGTACACAAATGTCCTAGCAATACTATTTAGCATGGCCAAAAGGTAGATATAAGCCAATATCCACCAAAAGATGAATAAAACATAGTATATTCATGTAGTATTTACTAGCCATAAAAAGAAATGAAGTATTGATATTAATGCATGCTAAACAAGCCAGATACAAAAGGCTGAGATTTGTTTGTATGATTTCATTTGTATGAAATATCCAAACAAGTAAATCCACAAAGATAGAAAGCAGATTTGCTACTGCCAATGGCTAGGGGAGTGGGAAGTCAGGAGTCACTGGTAAATGGACATGTGTTTGCATTTCAGGTGATAAACAGTTATAGACGACAGTACTAATGCTTGCGCAACATTGTGGATGTGATTACTGACAATGAATTATAAAATTACTTAGAATGGTAAATTAAAAAAAAAAAGGAATGGTAAATTTTATGCTATTTGTACTTATCCACCAAAAAAAAAAAGCTTATAAAAAGAGAGATCAAGACAAGCCAATGACTTTTCACAGGTGACTTAGGGCAAGGCCAACCCACCAATGAGACGAAGTGCCGTCTGTGTGAGAGCGAGCGTGCCGGAATTCAGTAGAAGGCTCAGGTTGTGGGCACCGTGCTGCAGGGTGAGCATGCTGAGCATTACCAGGAGAAAGCGAGCTTGTGGGGTTGTCCCCAGGCTTGGTCCTGATGGGTTCTCGTTTGTAATGGTTTGCAAGGGGACAGGCTGGATACCTAAAAGGCATTGGCACTCAAATAAATTTCTTGTGCGTTGATCCAAGAACATACACAAAGCAGAAAGCATTAGCAATTTTTTTTATAGTCTGTCTTTTTCATCAGATATCCACAGAGTGTGGACACTGGGCAGTTTGTATTACTTTGTGATAATCATACCACCGTCACTTCACATGTAGCTGTCTCCAACTATCTACAAAACTTATAACACTGCTCTTCTAAATATCCCTAGTGACTCACTCCTTTCATGTCAATTACAAGAGAGAGATTTCACTTGTCTTCCACAAAACCAATCCTCCCTCTGTAGATGCTCAAACTGTTAAGGAAATTATGTAGTAATAAAAAAATACATTTTAAGATATACTGTGTGATACACTTAAAAATGTTAAAATACAAAAACTTTGTATTAGGATAGTACAGTACTATCCCTTCTGCAAAATTCTGAAAGTTTAGTTTAGAATATGAGAAAGTTTAAAGCAGCTTAGATTATCATTCTAATGTACAAAGTTATGAAAGTCTTGAAAGCAAAAATTAGCATTTCAAAGTTTCCAGAATATATAATTAAGAGTCAAACTAAGAAATAATGCTAATAATCATCATTGACATCAACAGCAATTTTAATATAGCCTTTCAATCATCAGATTTTTAACTCACCAAGTTCTTTAAATTTGGCATTTGCATCTATCAAAACATTTCGAATATTCTGAACAGCCCAAGTATACAGCTTGCCAAAAGTTACTTCAAGCAGCATCCGATTAAAAGGTGGGATCAAATCAACATCCTTTAAACAATCTGTAAGGGGTTCCCTTCAAACAAAGATGAAGAATTTCACTCAGAATACTGCCAGATGTTTAAAGTCAGTAAAACGGCGCTCTGTTGTCACAGCCTCGCTCAATTAAGAAAAAACACTATAAAGTCTTACCCTATATCAACCCCTTCCGGAATAAGTCTTTGCCATCCACAGAACATAGCATACTGCACAGATGGAAGTAAGAAATTTTTGGCTGCCAGTTTTAAAATTGTATCTATCCCTTCCAGGCGAACTTCTGCTCTCTCCAACTGTGGAAAAAAAAAAATCAATGCATACTGTTAAGTGTTTATGTATTATCCAAGACAGAGAAGAATGGTCTTAGCAAATTCACCTGTTTTAGTAGGCATTTTCTCATTTTTTCCACATCCACAGGCTCTTCTTTAAGGGCAAATTCAGCAATTGTACTGAGGAGTGCAGACTGAGGATACAAACCCTGAACATTCTGCTTCAACCATTTGTATTTGTGAACACCTGTAACTGTACTCAACAGGGGCTGCCATTTATCCTGACAAACGAAAACCATTTTTACCATCAGTTAACCTTATTCATACTAAGATATACTCTAAAACAATTACTCAAAGAAAATATAAATAAATGCCACTAGGTTTAAATTGGTAACACAGTTTAAATTTAGGAACTAATGATAAAAACAACCATGTTGTAAATAGTCTTATAAATCAATGTATAATTTGTATACTTATGTACTTTGGAATTGGCTAACTTGACAAAGTTAAATTATCATCCATGTTAACAGTTTTTGGAGCAAAGGCTACATTCAATGAATGAGTGAATAAATGAATGAATGAGTAAAATGGTGAACAAACAATGACACAGTATACAGCTAAGAGTAAAAGAAAACACTTCTACAGCTATTGATTTGACCAGGGCACCATAAGTCAAGTGCATTTAAGCATCGCTGGGGCAGTTATTCATGCTGTTAATAACTACCATACTCTCTACTCATATTCAAAAACAAAGCAATAATACTTGTGGATTCCCTTCCAATGTGGTGTGTTTCTACATAGCGAGTCTTAGAATCACAAAAAATACTTCACCTTGGGTGATTTAATTGTAATGGGTCTTTTGTCCACATTTATAGGACTGTGAGGCAAAATGCAAGCTTCTTCTAAATCGCTCTCTCCATTTCCAATTTTTTCTTCTTCATCAGTAGATTCTGGCTTCTTAGGAACTACATTTAAAAACACCATTCATTACAAAAATCATTAGATATGATTTTAAATTAAGAAATGTTTAAATCTGCATGAAAGTAAAGGATATGAATATTGTTTTCAAAAAAAACATGTAAATATTGTCAAGTGTTCAAATTACAAAAAAGTAAAAACTATCAAAGTTATTCTCACATGACATTCAGTAATAACTCTGCCACTGCATGTCAGGGACAGAAAGATAGTGACAATGCTACAATGGAGAGACGCCCTGAAGAAGGAGAAGCCCAGAGGCTGACTAACTTTTTCATAAAGGGACAGAGAGTAAATATTTTAGTCTTTGCAGGCTATTCAATCTACTGCAAATACTCTACTGCTGCAGCATGAAACGTAGCTAACTTTATTTGTGAACGCTGTTATTTAAACTTCATATAATTTTCATGTGTCACATTCTTCTTTGTTTTTTATAACATAACTTAAATGCAAAACCCAGCCTTAGCTCATGGGCAGTACACAGTAAATGGCAGGCTACATTTGTCAACAGATCCTAATCTGCCCACTCTGGACTAGTATATTGGTTCCGTCACCAGGGTACAACTGAATCAATTAGATGCCTTTGGCTATGTTAGTCATTTTTTGCTTTTTGGCCATGTTTAGGGGTGTGGTTTTTTTTTTGTTTTTTTTTTTGGCTGTGCTGGGTCTTCACTGCAGCTCTTGGAGTCTTTCTTGCCACGTGTGGGCTTCCACGAGTTGTAGTGGATGGGCTTCTTTCTGTGGCTCCTGGGCCCTAGAATACAGGGGCTCAGTTGTGGCTCACGGGCTTAGCTGCCTCACAGCATGTGGAATCTCAGTTCCCTGACCAGGTATCAAACCTGCATCCCCTGCGTTGGGAGGCAGATTCTTAACCTCCTGGCCACTAGGATATTCCCTTAAGTTAGTCTTTTAAATGAGAGAAATTTCTACTGAATTTGCAGCTTAGTATGCGGCATTGCTTCCCTACTTTTAGTACTCTTCAAGGCTTTTAGTCTATTTCTTCTACTTTATAATATAAACAGCAGACAACACAATAAAACACTAACATACCAAGTGTGGGTTGCTCAAAGCCTGTGAATTCCCCAGAAAGCCTGTATCATCTGCACTGCCCTTGCCCAGCTCCTATGAGCTGAGCTCTGAGACCTGGACATGCTCTCAGAGAAGAGTGTGCCTTAAGCACAGGACCACATGCACCAGAGTGAACAGAGAGCTTGTGACTTATGTCAACTGTTCTACCCTGGACGGAGTCTGGGCAGCAGAGAGTGATCATGCAAGCCCCCCGTGGCCATGTGACTGACAGCCAACAACCCTGGACACCAAGGTTCAGGCGCGCGTCCCCGACAGAGAGCTTTGTCACATGTCACTGCTGGAAGAACCGAGCAGGACTCTGTGATTCACTAGACAGAACCCTGGAAGGAAGCCTGGGGCCGGTTTCCTCCAGAATTTCCACCACGTGTCAATGCTGCTAATCTTCCTCTGCCCGTTTTCACAGTAATAACCAAGAGTACAACAGCTCTTCTGAGTCCTGCAGTGCCCTACCAGGGAATCATCAAAGTTAGCACAGGACCAGAAACATTAATTATTTTTAAATGGCAATTAAATATGTAACCCACATCAAGATATTTTAAGAGGTGACCATGTGAGCTCAGAGTCCAGGGAGGCAATAGCCACATGGGGATGGGACTGTTCTCCTCCCAGTTGAGATGCCATCTCCTGAGTCTCCTGGCCTCCTGGGTTAAAGAGGTCTCAGAAATACTCTTGCCTTATTTCCTAATTCAAAGCATTTCCAGGATCCAGATAAGCTATGGTTCAAGCCCAGGAACAATCAATTCAAGATGGCTTCTAAAATAAATTAGTCTTCCATGACATTATTGTTTGCAATAATCATAAAAAACTCACTAATTAATATTGCTTACCAGGTTCATCTGCACATAAATCAATATAATTCATAAGAGTATAATCAAATACCTTGGTAGGTTTATAATCACAAATGACCAAATTATAAAAGTTTTTTATGTATTTTCATTCAAATTTTGGTTAATACAAAAACTCTTTTTCCTATCCCTACACAGCTGCTTCCTGAAAATATCAGTAACTCTTTTGGTTCCTTTTATAACAATCCTCCATGCTTCAGAATATTCAATATTTCCAAATAAAAACATTTATTCACAAGAATGGCAAGAATAATTGCGACTGGAAAGATTAAATCTTTCCATATCTCATTATCAGGACAAGTTGTTTAAAAAACACTTCATCTTTCCCATCAATTTAATAAAGTTCACAATAATTTTCACCATCAGGTTACTAGTTACCCAAACATAACACACTCAGTCCCAAAGGTGCATCATTATCTCATGTCTTGGCAAAATAAGCAGCATTTGTATACTTAATCATAAATACACATAAAAACATTATAGCAGTAGTGAAAATGCCCATGCGGTGAGCAACAGCCAACAGCCTCACTCAAACCACAGACAGGAGGGGGACACAGGTGAAAGCATCCCCCTACACCCTTTACCTCCTTACCTCTCTTCTTCCTTCGTTCTCGAATTATCTTCTGAGCTATCCTCTTCCAACGGGGCAAAGAACTTAACAGTTTAAATTTGGACATTATAGAGAGGTCATTACAAACTGCAGGTCTCAGTTCATTAAAGAGGAACCTCAATCGTTCAATGACAGGGGCACAGACCTCCTTGTAAGAACGGCCCTGTTCTTGATGTGTCTACAAAGTTAAATACGAAAGGACAACTTAACAATGATACCCCGCCAACTGTCCACAAGGCACAGAAGAAAGAGAATCAAAATCTACTTACCTTAATGAGTGAGCATTTTGCTTGATAGACAACTCTACAAACATCCACCACTGATTTAGGCAATGTTCTATGCTTTACTTGCTCAATACCAAGTGTACCTGCATGAACTAAAGATAATGCCACGTGACCTGTGAAAGATATTTAAGATAAAGTGCAGATTAGTTATGACTGAAATATGTCAGTTGAAAGATCTATGTACGGCTAAAATACTGAGATTCATACCTAAATCTTCATGTTTTAAGAGGCAACATAACAGTAAGCGGCCAACCTCCTCCACAGGATGCTCAGGAGGAAAGGTGATGGGTGTGGTCAAGTGGCACTGCCTACAGTATCTTTCAATCTGACACAGAAAGTCCTGCAACAGAAACAGCCAGAGGTAACTTCAGAGCCAACCTTGCAACATCGTCATAAGTTCTAAGTGCTGCAACTTCTGATGCACTTGTGATCAGCGATGCCTCTCAAACCTCACTGGACACCGAAGTGAACCAGCTTCTTGACAGCCCTCCAAATAAGATGCAAACAAAGTCTGTGCTAAGGTGTTCACAAGTCAGTCCTAAGGTAAACAGAAGACACAGTATGGGAAGGCCTCACTCACCTTCACGTTGTGATCCTGAATGTTATTGTCAGCGATGGCTTGCAGGAATGCCTGGGCGTGGTCCCCCAGGGCCTGTCTGTGGGAGCAGAGCCGCGACTTGGTGGCAGGAGTGCCCCCAGGAGAGCTACAGTGGTCCTCGTCTTTCTCCTCATTGTAGCTGTAGTGGATCTGGCTAGTCTGCAGGCCACCGGAGAAGATGGATGACTGAAGCCACTCTAGAGAGTGCATATACAAACGTTAAAAAAAAAATCTGAGTGCACCATTCAGAAATAAACACTAGGGGAAAAAGAAAACTAAGCACTTCATTTAGGAGGTGAAATTCAGGATCACTCATATGAAAGTCTCATCTAACATATTTACATAGATTGGCTTATAATTCCTATGTCTACCTGAACAAAGGTAACACCTTCCAGTTACTCAACACATCTTAAGTATAGAATCAAAACCCCAAATAATAGTTCCAGCACTTATAAAATAATAGTCCAACATTTACTGGACACCTACTCAAGTATAGAGTTGTCCAGTTTCACAGATACTGTGTGAAAACTGAGTCTGTGTTTCTAACAGAGAAAAGAAAATGAGACACCACTTACAAAAGGAATCCACAACTTCAGCTGGGATAACTATACACTACAAAGTACTATAGTGGGAATGTGCGGCAGCAAACACCCCATTATTTGGAGGGCTGATACAGAATGTTTTTGTGATCTGGATGAAGACCAAGACACTGAGCATCCAGGTAGGAGAATAGCACATGTGAAGAGTTCCAAGGAGAAAAACATGTTCAGGATAATACATCTCCCTAAAGCATTAATCAAAAGACTAGTTCAAAATTAGGAAAGGAATATGTTAAGGCTATATACTGTCACCCTGCTTATTTAACTCAGATGCAGAGTAGAAAATGCAAAATGCTGAGTTGGATGAAGCACAAGCTGGAATCAAGATTGCCAGGAGAAATATCAATAACCTCAGATATGCAGATGACACCACCCTTATGGCAGAAACTGAAGAGGAAATAAAGAACCTCTTGATTGAAGTGAAAGAAAAGAGTGAAAAAGCTGGCTTAAAACTCAACATTCAAACAACAAAGATCACAGCATCTGGTCCCATCACTTCATGGCAAATACATGGGGAAACAATGGAAACTGACAGACTATTTTCTTGGGCTCCAAAATTGCTGCAGATAGTGACTGCAGCCATGAAATTATAAGACGCTTGCTCCTTGGAAGAAAAGCTACGACCAACCTAAACAGCATATTAAAAAGCAGTTTGTGATTATTTGTCAACAAAGGTCCATCTAGTCAAAACTATGGTTTTTCTAGTAGTCATGTGTGGATGTAAGAGTTGGACCATAAACAAAGCTGAGCGCCAAAGAATTGATGCTTTTGAACTGTGGTGTTGGAGAATACTCTTGACAGCCCCTTAGACTGCAAGGAGATCAAACCAATCAATTCTAAAGGAAATCAGTTCTGAATATTCATTGGAAGGACTGATGCTGAAGCTAAAGCTCCAATACTCTGACCACCTGATGCAAAGAACTGACTCCTTGGAAAAGTCCATGATGCTGGGAAAGACTGAAAGCAGGAGGAGAATGGGCCAACAGAGGATGAGATGGTTGGATGGCATCACCAACTCAATGGACATGAGTTTGAGCAAGCTCTGGGAGTTGGTAATGGACAAGGAAGCCTGGCATGTTGCAATACAAGGGGTCGCAAAGAGTCAGAGACAACTGAGAGACTGAACTGAGAGCATTAATCAACTAATAATAATGAGAGACAATTGAACATACAAGACAAGAACTTAAGTAAGGGATGGCTGCTTGGAAACCTGAGATCCAGTGTGCTATAAAGGAGAACTGTGTGATGCACAGGCCAAGCACCATAAGAGCAAGTCCTCTATCAGTGCCAATGGGAACACCCATATAACTGCTATGATGTCTAAACTGAGAGTCACCTAAAAGAATGTTTTTATAACTACAGATTTTATCAATAACTTGGGCTATCAAAGTATTTCTCCAAAACCCAAGCAATCAAATCTGAGTTCACTCAAAGTTCTTTGACTGGAAATTTAGATATTAAAGTATTCAGAGCATTCTCCAAAGTGCCACATTAATTCCTCCGAAACACAATCGTGACCAGACCTTCCCTGAACCTCTCCATTTAGAACTCCCTCTTGTCTCTCTGCTCCAGTGGTGGCTTCTGATGTCCTAGAACGGGGAGATCCCCACACAACAAGCCCACAATACCTACTGCTCCCCTCTACTCTGACACCTTGCTGCTCCTAGTTGATTTGGAAGAAGACAAGATCACCCATCTTAGACGCTCTGAGGCAGCAAAGTGCACAGGACCTGCACCAAAGGTCTGTCCAGAAGGCACCACCGCAATCCTTGCCCACTAGCTTTCTCCCCTAACCCTCCACATGCACCAGCCCAAAGCTGATTTTCTCAATGGTGCCCTCACACACCCTGTCTGCTGGGACTCCAATTTCACGATAGTTCCACCTCCATGAGATCTTTCCCTCCACCCACTCCTCACCTCCCAAACCACTTATCAATGGCTGCATTTTATCTTCTACCACCATCCAACCTGACCTGGTTATGGTGTCCAGGTACAGGAAGTAACTAAGTGCAGCTGCTGCCAAGTCGTGTCAGTCGCGTCCGACTCTGTGCAACCCCACAGACGGCAGCCCACCAGGCTCCCCTGTCCCCAGGACTCTCCAGGCAAGAACACTGGAGTGGGCTGCCATTTCCTTCTCCAAACTAAGGGCAGGGTGCATCTAATTCTATATGTGCTTATATCCTCAGTGCCTAACATGGTAACTTCCATGAGAGATTACTCAAGAGATGTGCATTGGATAGTCAGTGGAGGAACAGATGGAGATAAACATAAATATGTGAAGAGTCATTCAAAGGTATCACATGGGATATGGAGAAAATGTAATACTCTAGGTGGCTACGAATGTTGCCATCCCAAAATACGCTGGATTGGAGTCTGGTGAAAACACAATCCTCAAACAGAACACCATCCCGAAGAACCATCAGTCCACCACATGTAGATTTCTAGGCAGCAGGGAGCTGAGCCAATCTGTTAGAGGATGTGGAAGTCAGACCACACATAGGCTCAATCTTCCTACACACCTGTCAGCTTCCTTTGATGCCACAGGTCACACAAATGAAAGCCAGTCACAGCTATTGCTATGAACTGGTTTAGTCTCACTATCCTTACATTTCCTCATCAACAACTGTGCTCATTCTTCTTCACTATCCTTAATGGCACTTACAGCTCCAGCTAAAATAACCTGCTAATCTGTTAACAGAAAACAAAATTTTTCTTACTGGCACATTCGACCTCAACTGGAGACAGTGGTGTGCTCATAGCTAAATAGGAAGCATGTAATCCAAGGAGCAGGCCCAGATTCCTCTCAGTGTCTATAAGGGGTGAAGACAGACTTCCCAAATCTGGTATGGTAACAACTTCTTGGTCAGGCTGGGAAAGGCAAATTTCATTATCAGTATGAAATGAAAATAGAGTTAATTAACAACATTCAATCAAGAATTCCAACAGCTTTTATCCTTAAACAAGATATACTGCCGTAATAAAGACTGTGTCCTATAAAAGTGCGCTTAGGCTGCCCCACAATAACAGGAGATATCAGTAACTAAGAGCAGACGGCATGCACAGGTCTCCTGGTGGAAAACCCAAAGCAATGATAAACAACTTAACTAGAACATTCCTGAGGAAATCAAACAGAAGGTAGAACCAAAAGGGTTCAAAAGAAAATAATCTTAAACTCTCCCAGTCATATGACAACTTATAAACAAAATTAATTTTTCCCTTCATAAGATCCTTTAAACATTACACTTGAGGCATAAATTAATACATTCTGTCACTTCTATATCCACATCTGAAAAGTCAATCTCAACATATAAATCCCAATGCTTATGGATATATAGAATGGACATATTTCTATTCTAAAACACTATGCTATGAAATAGCTACTCCCCAAAAATACCTATCAAGATGGTAAGTCCTTCCAAATTTCTACAAAGAATTACAATAAAATTGTAAAGATAAAAAGTTAACTTTTTTTGTGTGTGTGGATCAGGGTTTGTATTTCTTACAAATTAACAATTTTAAAATAGTTTTTCAAGATCAGTACACCATAAATCTTAACAGGAATAAATGCAAATTGGCTTATTAAAAAAAAATTCCTAAAAGATTTTTGCTTTTCATTTAATGACCCCTTCCTCCAAAAGATCCAGCTATCAATACTTCAGGGTAAAAACCACTTATCAGAAATATCCAGAGAGGGTCCCCACTGATGTCCACCTTGCTCACCACACACACAGCCTCACCTCCAGATACTGACCAACACAGAAAGCATGCATTGATTCCCGTGTGTCTTCAAACTGCAAAGCAGCTTCCAAAGCCACCACTGGGTCTTCCCCTACAAACTGAGCTGAAATAAAACAGACAATAGTAACATGACTTCAGCACAGTTTGCCTAGCCATTTACTATAGAAACAGGAAATAGATTGTGCAGGTTAACTCCGAAGTAATATGATCTCTCACCCTCTGCCAGGGCTGTCTGGGTCAACTCAGAACCTGGAACAAGTTCCAACAAGTGTTGGAACAAAATCTGCATAATTATAAGAAATTCTTTAAATATGTCTGAATTTGCTGTGATAGAAAGTCACTTATAGACTAAAATGTATGAGACCTGGAGCAGTTACTAAACTGATCATTTTAAACCAAATGGTCTACTTAAAATGACACATTCACAACCTTTATCCACAAAGTAAAAAGCAACGCCTTACCAAGAATACTATTTCCTGTTAATGACTGCGTCTGGAAGTCCTTTATATCATACACTTTTCCATCAATCACAGTCCAGAAGCCTCCATCTTTATTGTGGTTCTCCAAATCAGCTTTGCGTATAAGTGTCACTTCCTCATTATTTCTACAGTTCTGACCTGTAAAAAATGACTCTGTGTATACAGAAACCAAAATCAATGAATCAATAGATCAATAGATAAAACAACTAGAACAAATTGCGTGAAAGAACTACAAGGTGAAATAGACAAATCCACAAACACAATAAGAAATTAATATACATCTTACTATAACTAACATCACAAACAAAAATTCAGCAAAGACACAGAACGATTTAAAAACAAAAACACCACGTGATAGGATGAATACTAAGTCTGGCCATATACCAAGCATCAAGCAAATCTCAAAAATTTCAAATAAGTCAAGTTACAGAGCATGTACAATGACTACAATGCAGTTAAGTTAAAAACAGGTAAGGGAATTCCCTGGTGATCCAGTGGTTAGGACTCTGTGCGTTCACTGTCAAGGGCCTGGGTTCAATCCTTGGTCAGGGAACTAAGATCCTGTAAGCTGTATGGTGTAGCCATAAATAAATAAATAAAGCAAGTAACAAAAACTTAAAATCTCTACATTTGAAACTATGCTGTCATTATACTGATGTCATCCAAAATTCCCAGAAAAAAAATGACTGGAAATCAGAAAACTGAAATGAACAATAATGCAAATACTGCAAATCAACACTTGTGACATACAGCTAAGTATATTTTTGAAGACATTTCTGTCTTTAAATGTACATATTAGGAAAAAATAAAAGCTAAAAAGTAAGTTAATAAACATAAAATCAATAAAATTCAGTAAGTTAACAATGATACTTCAAAAAAAGAGAAAACTTCATTAGTCACCTTTGGAAGCATTAGGACTCCAACTTACTATCACAGAAATCAGTTAAGGTGGGCTGGGGGTGATGGTGAGTCAAGCCAGGATCATGTCTCTCCTGTGCAAATTGCACCTCGGGTTACCAGTTGAGGGCAAGGTTGCTTGAGGATTGTACCGTGGACACACTATACATGAACTCCCTGGTCCACGTGACAGAGCTGAAGGGGGAGTCACCAGCACCGTGGGTGAGACAGAAAGCACACAGCAGGGCCTCAGAAATACTCCAACCCAGCAAAACTGAAACCAAATCTCATCAAACCCATCAGCAGTTCATAGAAAATATCACTGACAAAAGGTGTTGTGACTTGAAGAAGACAATGCAATAAACCAAGTTCAGAAAATGTGAAATCCTCCAGAACAAACGGCCTACTTCTTTAAAAAACAGCAACAAGAAAAATAAACAGTACAACAAAAGTGAGGGAGGAGAGCCTGGAGATACACTGTTGGGTAGAAAAACAAGAAGTATATACGACCTCGACTACAGAGGACCTGTCTACATCCTGACTCAACACAACCACTGATAAAAAGGGTAATGGATCTGTTCATCTTGGACAGAACAATGCGACTGTGCTTTCTTTCTCCCAAAAGTTTTTATCGTTAACAGGTAAAGTGTGCAAAAATCTTTAAAGAGAGAAATTCGCTTTAAAATAATACAATCAATCAAATAAAAAGTATAGGAGAGCCTGGGGAATGTGAGTAAATTTTTTTTTTCCTGGCCATGCCATGCAGCATGCGGGATTTTAGTTTCTGACTAGTGATTGAACCTGTGCCCCCTGCAGTGGAGGCTTGGAATCCTAATCGCTGGCCTGCCTGGGAAGTCCTTAGGAATGTAAATACTTGATGGTCCATTCATTATATTATCTTCTCTACTTTTATCTGTTGCAACATTTTCATAATAAACATTATAAAAATATCACTATGCTAACTAGCATAATTTCTCAAAAAGAAAAATTTCAGATTAAATCCTAAGGAAAAATAAATAAGTAAATGTAAAGAACAGTGTAGTACCAGCACAATAATGACATTTAGAGCAATAGAACAGAATAAAGAACCCAGAAATAAATCTTCACAATATATAGGTAAATGATTTTCTTTTTTTACAAGAATGGCAAGACCTTTCAATGGGGAAAGGACAGTCTATTCAACAAATGATGCTGCAAAAACTGAATATTCAAATGCAAATGAATCAAGTTGGACCTGTACCTTTCACTATACACAAAAATTGACTCAAAATAGATTAAAAACCTAAACATAAGAGCTAAAACTATAAATAAAACTCTTAGAAAAAAAACATAGGAGGAAAGCTTCCTAACACTGGATCTGTCAATCATTTTTTTAGACAAGACACCAAAAGCACAGACAAGCTTCATTAAAAAAAAAGAAAAAAATCAAAGGACACGATCAACAGAATGAAAAGCCAACTCACAGAATGAGAAAATACTTGCAAGTTGTATATTCTCAGAATATGCAACAAACTTCTATAACTCAACAACAATAAGAAACTTGACTTAAAATACTTGAAATGACATTTCTCCAAAGATACGTACATGGTCAACAGGCTCATAAACAGATGCACACCACCACTAATCATTAGGGAAACCAAATCACAACTACAATGTAATACCACTTGATCCTAATAGGATGGCTACTATTTTTTTTTAACTTTTTATTTTGTTTTGGGGTATAGTCAATTAACAATGCTGTGACAGTTTCAAATGAACAGTGAAGGGACTCAGCCAAACATATTCACTCTCCCCAAAACTTCCCTCTCATCCAGGCTGCCAAATAACATTGAACAGAGTTCCACATGCTATACAATAGGTCCTTGTTGTTTATCCATTTTAAATACAGCAGTGCATACATGTTCATCCCAAACTCCTTAACTATCTCATTGCCCATCCTTCCCCAGAAAATCTTAAGTTTGTTCTCTAAGACCATGAGTCTCTGGTTTTATAAGTAAGTTAATTTGTATCATTTCTTTCTAGATTTCACATATATGGGCTGTCATATGATATTTCTCTTGTCTGTCTGACTTCCTTCACTCAGTATGACAATCTCCAGGGAGGACGGCTATTATTTAAAAAACAAACAAGTGTTGGCATGTAGGTGGAAAAATCAGAACTGTTCCTTTGTGCATTGCCCGTGGGAACTTAAAATGGCACAGTTGCTGTGGAAAACAGAATGGCAATTCCTTAAGAAATCAAAAACACAATTATCAGTGCACTGGTGCTCAATCACTCAGCTGTGTCTGGCTCTCTGACCCCACAGACTGCAGCCTGCCAAGCTCTTCTGTCTAGGGAATTGTCCAGGCAAGAATTCTGAACCGACTTTTGGCTATATACCCGAAAGAAGCGAAAGCAGGAACTCAGACATCTACACACCTATATTCACAGCAGCATTAATCACAATAGCCAAAAGGTGGGAACAATCCAGTATCCATTAACAGATGAATGTTACATCTGTTACAAAGAATATGTGAAATATATATACACACAATATACACACACAAATATGTGATAAAATACCACTCAGTCATAAAAAAGAATGAAATCTGCCATCTGCAACATGAATAGAAAAAACTGTGTAATCATCAAGAGATGCAGAAAAAAGTATTTGAGGAAATTTAATGTCCATTCAGAAACCAAAGGAAACATCCTTAATATTTTAAGGTATCTACAAAGAAAAAATATCATACTTCATATGTGAACTTTGGGTAGTTTTTCCTCTGTTCCTAGGAGCAAGACAAGAGTGCCCATTATCACCACTTCTACTCCACAGTGCACTAGGGTGCCAGCAAGTATAGTATGTTCTGGCAGGAAGCTCACACTCAGAAGCAGACACAGGCAGAGTCACTGATTTAGTCAAAGGTGGTACTCGAGAGGAAGAGACTACAATAGTCCTTTCACCCAAAAGTGCTGGTACAACAATCCTACAGACAAAACACCTATGGAAAAAAATGGCATATGATCTCGAGGAATGGAGGTGGAACAGTGAGTACTTCCACACTTTGTAGAGATGAGAACCAGTACAATCACTGTGGAAATCTGGCATTCTCTACTAAAGCACGCCTTACAAATCACCAAGAAATAGACAAAAGAACATTTAAGCAATTAATTTGTTATGGGTCACATGCCTATCTGATAAAATGATCAAGAGAAGTAGGGGAACGGCAAGCACAAAAGCCCAGAGAAATCTTTCAGTAAGACAGAGACAGTGTTTGGGAAGGTTCTGCTTAATAAATGGTTTCCCCTGTGATCAGTCCCAAAGTTGCTTTTGGTAATTTTGTGTATATGTTATACTTCACAATAAAAAAAATGTCTTATAATAACTGTCTGAACTGCTGATCAAGTTATAAGCTCTCAACCATATGGAGTAAACAGACAAAAATCACAAATGACCATTTAAGTTCACCAAAGTAGATGAACTGTGTTGAAAATATTAGCTATAATAAAGAAATAAAAAATAATGTTCAATATCCTAAGGCTGGTTATTTTCCTTAGGACACTTGTTACTTTTTCTGTTAAGTAATACATATAAAAATGACAGTCTACAACGGTAGAAAGGCCTACCTTGCTTCAGCTTTCCTATAAAATGAAAGGTAAACCACAATTAATTCTGTAAGTCCAGGAAGTCATAGTGCTTAGACTTAAGATTCAAAAGTGTCAAAGTTCAAAACTTTGAAAAGGTAAGTTTCATTCCAATTTGGTAAGCACTAGAGACAGTAAGGATGGGAAGTGCCCAGTTGACTATGGAAATTCCGTAACTCATTAACATCGCGTAAGGCCAGTGAGTTTAAGAAAGCCCTCCCATATCAACGTCTGCCTCCAAAGCGGGATCATAACTAAGTACTTCAACTATATCATCTGGAGACAATTCCCAAGAAAGGATTTTCCAGAATGCTCTAAAATAATCCAATTCAGGATGTAACAATCATTACTAACAGAAAAATTTTTCTTAAATGTAACCCAAAACTATTCTGATGTGGACTATCTTTGTTTTCCACTTACACTATCATCAAAGTGCTCAGTCACTTCAGTCGTGTCTGACTCTGCGGCCCCATGGACCGCAGCCTGCCAGGCTCCTCTGTCCAAGGGACTCTCCAGGCAAGAATACTGGAGTGGGCTGCCACCTCCTTCTCCACACTACCATCAGTGAAAATGGCAATAACTGGTGTTCCTTTGTCAAATTAGTCTTTCAAATCAAAGAGCAGACTAGGACAAAACTTTCCCCAGTGCAAGTCCTTAAGTGAAGATGCCATACCCATGATGCCAGGCCAGGCTAACTCTTCAAGGTCATCCCTCTCCTTTCCTGGTGCCAAGTGGTTGAACCGATCCAGATGCTCGAGCAAGCCACCCAGTAAAGGCACAGCTCCAGCCTCCTGCATGAGGCCAGCATTTTTACTGAGCAGAAGCACTACAGAGACTACTAGTTCTGGAAGGAGAATACCTACATTTAAAAAGAAAAAGAAAAAAGGTGTAAGACTTAGAACAAAAGTCTTTATCCTATAAAATCACTTTACAAGCTTGGGCTATGTTTACAATCACAAGATAAGGAACACTTGTCCTTCAGTATATTCTACAGGATTATTTTATCTTTCATTTTGAAAGAAACAAACATAGGTAACAAACAGAACCCTTTGAGTTATAAAAATACTTTTTGAAAACACTGTTTCAACACAAAAGGAGTAACTAGAGTTTTTTATTCAGAAAAACTAAGTGTTTCCAACTAAGTTAATCATCAGAAAAAAAGCACTCCATCATAATAATCTGTCATAGAATTAACTTGAAAAAATATTAAGCAATATAAGGGCAACTAATTCTTATGTTGCTGAAATAAAATTAGACAATTACCGTTAACTTCATTATTGAAGTGCTAATAACAGTGGTATATGACTCTAAAGCAACAATTCTATATACACCAGGTTGCTTAACTCTAGAATTGCAAATAAAAAAGCAAAAGGTGAAACCGAAAGGCTAGGACTAGATATAGCCTAGTCTACAGTACGAGACATGTAGTCTAGTCTACAGGACTAGATATATGAGGTAAAGGCATGCAAGCTTATTACAAAATGATACATTTTAAATCACATCAATCTCCAAAAATAAATACATGCAGACATTTAGGAACCAAGGTAAGTACCAGTGAAGTCCCCTTCCACAATGCAGGCCACCTCTGCAAAGTGCCGCCAGCTAGTGGAAGCAACGCTGGCCGCCACAGGCAGTATGTCCCCAATGTGTGTGCACAGCAGGGCCGTGTACTTCTTCAGCAAGGACCCGACCCCCATCAGTTCAGGACCTGGAGGGGAGATGCACAGAGTTTCATTTGCACTATCAAAATTTACTTTGTAAATAAACTTCCTTGTTTCACTATTCTATCTTTATCTATTACATCTTTTACCTATAATAATTTTTTCAAACAGGAGTGGTTAACCTTCCTTAGTCCTCCTTTTACAGCACATAATTTGAGAAACAGTGAGTTTGGATGTATCAATTTTTAAACACTGAACTATACAATGTTTAAAAACACTAAACCAAAGTTATAACTTAAGAGTTCTAAAACCTTATATCCAATATATATGTTTTCCAAGTCCAAATCTTAAAGCCTGAAAATTACTGTCAATGAACAAAGTTACGCGGTTTTCAATGTCATAAAAAATCGTCAACTCTTCCTGCTACATGGCTCTTAACAGCGTTTTAGTCCCTGTGAGTTTATGACACCTCTTTCAGACTGAAATGGTTCGCTGATTTCAACCTGAAGTTTTCCATCCTCTACAGGTGCCTAACTATTTTCAGGAAGTAATCAAGTTGTTTTAGAATACACTAGCTATAAAAACACTAACAAAAGTAGCAGACCCTTCCATCCCTGGCACAGAATATCCTATAAAGAGCCAACCACTCCTGTGGAGTTTCTGCAAAGTGCCCTACTCTACACAGTACACAGAACTGAGTCTTTCTTACACATCATCCTCATTCTCACAGGCACCCTCCAGTCTCATGCTAACAGTCAGCAACTCCCAGGAGACTCTGTCCCACATATCCAGCAGCTAATAAACTAAAGCTGTAACTGAGACTCTCTTCCTCCAACGATGATGCATTTCTCCTACTACACCCATCCAGCTTACCAGGGTGACATACAAATACTAGGTCACAATTCTGTCCCCATATTACGTCAGTCTCTCACAGTCCATAACTAACATGTGGAATAAGACCTTCTATAAGACTAACCTGAACATAAAGGACGCTATTTCTCATGTCTAAGGAATTTAAATGTTAACACAATGAAATAAAAATATTGATGAGTTTAAAACAGAAATATCTGTCCAAAAAAAAAAGCAGATGCAAAATAAAGTCCCCCAAAATTGGTACATCTAATAGTATAAGAACTACATATGTGGGCCATGCAGAATAGGTATGTCAAGAAGCGTAAATAAAAAAGTCAAAATAATACAAGACACTTTAACACTTTAAGTAACTTACTAGAAATTTCTGAAGTCTGACCAGCACTGTCTCCTGGATAAAGTTTACTGATAAGTAAGCGCTGAAAACGCAGCAACAAATCCAATGAAGCAGATCTTTCACGACTATGTTGCTCAAAGTCTAGACATGATGATATCCGACGGGCAACATCTTTCAATCTGGCTACTGTCTGAGAAGCAATGTTTCTATGCAGGAGAAAGAGAATTGCAAAATTAAGCAAGTTATGTTTGTCTTTAAATGGGGGAGGGATGTAAAAAAAAAATCACAATATAAATTAAAATCAGAAATAAAGATCATACACCCACGTGACCTGCGGCTGGCTCCCTTCCCCAGTGTGTGACAGGTGCATCTGCAGTAAGCATACCTCACTCAAAACGGAGCGGAGGTGCACACAAGACACCGCAAGGCAGAATGACACACCTTGCTTCACAAATGTGCTCCTAAGGAGTAGCATGCAACAGTCCAAAACAACAGAAAACTCCTCTATAAACCTTTGGAAGGAAAAGTAACTGTTATATAATTTTTTATCCAAAGCTGCATTTCAAATACAAATGTGACACTATTCTTAAAGACAAGATCCACTGGCACTTCATTTCAAATACAAATGCAACACTATTCTTAAAGATAAGATCCACTCGCATTTCTGCATCTGACTCTCAAGTCTACCTTCAGACCTACTCAGTTCAGCACCAGAGTGGGCCACGTGAGGGATGCCCAGGGCTCAGAAAGCACAGGAAGGAAGTGGGCACAGATGAAAGAGGTCACAGCAAGAGGTGCTCAAGGAACACAGCAACAAGGAAAAGACCAGGGGACCTGATTCCAACTGCAGGATCCAACTCGAGCAACGAACCATCAGCAGGTAAATGGGGAGAAGAGAGAAAGTGTAGTGAGAAGAGCAGTAAACGCTCCACGAGCAGAATGCAAAGGACAGGGCACGGAGGTCAAGACTAAGAAGGGGAGTGCACACAGTGGACACTGTAGGTGAGAGCGCGCCAGGCTGCTGGGGATAAATTCTGCAATGCTCAGCCACCAGGTTTTCAAAGAAAAGCGATATCCTTTTTGTGTCCAAGAAAGGTAACTCAAGTTAGTGTGAAGGCAGACCAGAAGGCGCAGAGAACAGCAGATAAGACCCGGCCACTCGGGGGCAGTCCTGGCACCAAGTGGGCAAGGCCTGGCCGGTGGCTGAGAAAAGAAAGAGAAAGGGAGTCAGAGAAGGAAAAGAGCCAAGCAGAGCCTGGCTTGGAACTTCTGTCAGTGCAGCCCCGCCACACCAGCCCCATTCCAGCCAAAGTGCCGGGCATGGTCACTGAGCAGAAAAGTCCAGAACCTCTGCACAACACCAGGCCACGGAGAAGCACTCTACTCCACTTCTTTGATTTCTTGCATAATAGCAGGTTTAAGGAGAACCTCCATCCACTGTATCTGCCCCCAGGGCTCAATCCAGGAACTCATTCTGTCCTCACTCTACTCTACCTATAGCAGTGGAGTGAGGGCAGAAGCAGAAGACACACATCAACATACACAGGGTTGCACAGAAAATGCAATAGGGAACCTTGGCTTGTGCTCAGCACTCCCAGCCACAAAAAATACAAGTGGGTGCTCAGGGCTTTGTTTTCGATTCACCTCATCTTCCTGCTCCATGACCTGATAACCTGCCCTGATAACCGTATCACTAAAAGAAACGGTCTAGAATCTGGCTTTTAGGCCATACATGACGGAGCAAAATATATTAACAGAACACAATACAAATGTTAACTTATTTCCCTAATAGAAAATTCAGAACCATAGTCAAAGTGTATAATTCTGACGGAGTTCATTGACTTAAAAATCTTCATAGCTCTCTATTTCCAAATACAAATGGTTTTCTGTGGCTCTTTGTCAGCATAGGAGTTACTCTGAAATTTGTTTCATTGCTTACTCTGGGCAAACTACAACTTCTCCAACCTGTTTTCCAAACAATAAAATGCATCAGATGTCTCCAAAATCTCCAAACTGTAAACCTTTAGATTATTTTTCAACAAGTGCATCAGCCAAGTCAACACATGAGTCTCACTTAGTCACAAAACCTTAAGGTTGGAAATAAAGTTAAAGTCTATCTCTGTAAGAGGAAAGGCAAATTATCTATGCTTATGAAAAGAGCTGAGATCACAGGCATTGTTAGTGAGAAAGTTGTTTATGCATTTTTCTTTTTCTCTTTTCCAAAAAACTTTTAAGGTACTATTTACTTCCATGATTCAGCTTTTGTTTTGTGTTTTCTAAACAGGTACATCTTCATTATAAACCTGCTGTAGGGCCAACTCCTGCCTGCATGCCAAAGGAACCAAAAGTAAAGAGGAAGGTTCAGAAGACAACGTGAGAATGGTACAGAGAACATGGTGCAACAGGAAACGTCTGCCAGGGACTCACACATGTAATTTAGAATGTCTACCAGTCACATAAATAAAGATAAAAAGAACATGTAAAACCAGCATTAATCATGTATTTATTACCATATATTTAAAATATTATCATTTCAATGTAAAACCAGTAAGAAAAAACAGAGAGTTTTATATTAGTTCTTTTCACAGTCTTCAAAAGCCATTGTGTATTTTGTATATTTTGTGTATTTTGTACATTTCAATTCAGATAACTAAATTTTCATTGCAAATACTTGATTTGCACTTAATGCTCATAAAAATGAAGAGATGAAAAGGTAAATTCATATGGCTAAGTTATTCCAAACATAACTAAGTTTTCTAATAGTTGAATCAAGTCTAAGTTTTTAATTTGAATTTTAATCAATAAAAAAATAAAATCTCAGTGTCTTGGCTACATTGTGGACACACTTCAAATGTTCATCACACCAATGTGGCAAATGACTGCCAGACTAAATAGCACAGGTGCAGGCAGGTAAGAGGGACAGGTGTCTACACACCGAGGGAAGAGATGGACTGAACAGGCAGGCGAGCAAGAGCTGGCCTCTCATGAGAATGGTAACTGGCCACAGGGTGGAGAACAGGGGGCCCAGTGCTGGCTGGCAGTGACGCCAGTGTGCCCAGGCATAGCCTCCTCAGCGAAGGAAGGTGTCGGTAAGAACACAGAAAAGCACGTCTTGAGTTACATGCTTTTGCTTTAAAACTTCTGCATAGCAATGACCATTTTCTCACTTGATCCTTAATTAACTCTGCAATGTAAACACTGCTGTTATTACTCCCACAGTTACCACAGTGGGCAGAGTTTCAGCTGCCAACTTTACACAAGCAGTCACAACTGAAATTTTCCAGGAAACATTCTCAAGCTCTTTTCATTACCACCAACTACACTGAGTTAACTCACTTTACTTCATTAACTCACTTTACTTCAAATTGTGATACTGAAGATTAGAAGGTACAAACACTGATTTTTAAAAAACCATCATCAGATTATTTTTAAAAATAAGAAAAAGTTATTTTATTGGCATTTACTAAAATCTATAAAAGGAACTAGCTATAAAACACCCTCTTTTAAAAGCCACAGTGTGCCGAGTAAACGCGTGTTCCCTCATGTGGAGGGCGGGCCAACCCACACCAGCACACCCACCACTGCCCTGGATTTAGGGCTCGCTTTCCTTTCTGCATAAAAAACAAACCAGGAGCCAGGTTTACACAGAGTGGAGTTGTGTTACATAAAGGACAATAATTTTTCACTGTCTAACAAATGCCTTTCAGAAACCACCCTGCTCTTTCGCTTTTTTTGAAGGGCACCATGACACAGGCTGACATTTTTCAGCAGTGAATGACTACTTCAGCCCTTATGAATGTTAGTCTTTGCTCATATTCTGACTTTCACTGATTCTTACCTCCTCCTGATAAGTTCTTCAAATATAATGCTCACCTTTCTTTTATTTACTTCAGTTTTTAAAAGTTGTCTTAGAAATGAAAACATATAAATCTATGATAGACAGAATGGCCAATGACACAACCAACTGTAAAAAAAAAATCTTACCACGATGATTTCCATTTGTATCTACCTACTTACTAATGAAGGTAAGAATCTCATCCTACACTTTTCACACACTCCAATTTTCTCTTGTGTGAAAACCTTTGGAATCTCTACTTCATACACTCTAACCTCTCACTTCACCTATATTTAAGAGTCTGCTCTAAAGTCTCTCCAAGGTACTTTCTGGAGTATTTCCTCAACAACTGAAGACATTTTTGAGTCCCCAGCATTCAATCTATTTTATTATGAAAATCAATAATTCTATTAAAATACATCAATACTATTTACCTAAGAAGCTGCTGAATAAGCTGAACCAGAGGCAAGCACTGTTTTCCAGAAGATTCATAGATTCCCGTATTAATAAGATCTTTATCCAACGGAGTCCTACTTCTATGAAATGTCGAGGCATTTGCTTCCTGTTCATCAATTTCTTTTTCCTTCTGTGCTTCTTTTTTGGCTTCAATATCCTGTAATTCATGAAATACAGGCTGGTTACCAGTTATCTGAGAAGTGGGCTGAGCCTGGACCCCACAGCCTAACTGAGTGCTGACTCCCGCGCCTGGTAACACCGGCCCACGGCAACCACTAAAACTCACACTGCTCAGCAGCTCCGTCTGTAAACAGGCAATCTGTCCTACAAACCCAATGGCCAGGCTGCCAGTGCAAATGCTCGCCAGCCTCTGTGAAGCTCTTGAGATCTTTACTCCTGCTACTGGGTCTCACAACACCCAACGCGATCACCTAGGCAGAAACTATCTGCTTTGTAAACACAAAGCACTAAACCACAGAATGAGAGGATATACGCACAAGTCCTGTATCTGACAGGGGGCCTAAAGGAGAGAGAAAGAATCCTTACAGCTCGAAAATTCAAAGATAAATTACCCAGTTGTAAAGCAAGCAAAAAGTGAATGGACACTTCTTTCAAAGAAGATGGACAAATAGCTAATGAGCACATGAAAAGATATTCGACATCATGAGTCATCAGGGAATTTCACATCTGTCAGGACAGTAGAACAAAAAAGATGAACAGTATTAAGAGCAAGCACTAGCAAGGATATGGAGAAATTGCAACTGACATACAATGTTACTGGGCATGTAAAATGGTACGGTCACTTAAGAAAACAGTCTGGTTATTCCTCGAAACATTACACACAGAGTTACCATAAAATTCAGCAACTCTACTCCAAGGCATACGCCCATAAGGAACAAACACCTGTGTCCACAAAAAAACCTCCACGCAAATATTCATAACAGCATTATTCATAATAACTTAAAAGAGGGAACAATCTAAATGTCCATCAGCTGATAAAGAGATAAACAAAATGTGCTATATCCATACAAGAGAATACTGTTAAACAATTTTTTAAAATTAAGTACAATATGAATGTCACAACCTCACTGAACTTTGAAAACACTGTTAACTGGAAAGAGCCAAATACAAAAAGCCACACACTGTGCAAATTCACTTATATGAAATGTCCGAAACAGAGAAATCTTCACAAACATAAAGTGGATTAGTGGTAGTCAGTGGCTGCAAGGAGTGGGGAATGGGCAGAAACGACTAAGGAGCACAGACTTTCCTTCTGGAGTGAGGAAATGAGAAAATTAGACATTGATGACGCTGAACAATTCTTCAAATATACAAAAAAAAAGACTTTAAAAAACTGAATTTTATACTAGATGAAGTAGAACTCAATAAAGTTATTATTTTAAAAAAACTCTGAAAGAGGTTATCTTTTGCCAGTCAAATGCAACCAATATTCCTGAGGATGTACTATATACCAAGCATTCCTCTAGCAATCAAATTTACTGTGAAAAAGCATACAACTTCTTTCCTTCTGGTCTTTATTTTCTAACAGTAAACACCAGAATAAGTCTAAACACAACAGTCTGCTCCATCCTGAGAAGTGGCTGGACTAGAACTATGCCATCCACAATTAAGTTAAGAAGGCAACATGGGTTGGAAAGCTTAAAACTGTGTGTGCTTTTGACCAAATTTTATTACTAAAACTTTTTCCTAACCAGTTCAGTTCAGTTGCTCAGTGATGTCCAACTCTCTGAGACACCATGGACTGCAGCACACCAGGCTTGCCCGTGTAGCACCAACTCCGGAGTTTGTTCAAAATAGTATCCATTGAGTCAGTGATGTCATCCAACCATCTCATCCTCTGTCTGCCCATTCTCCTCCTGCCTTCAAACTTTCTAAGCATCAGGGTCTTTTCTAATGATTCAGTTCTTCGCATCAGGTGGCCAAATTGTTGGGAGCTTCAGCTTCAGCATCAGTCCTTCCAGTGAATATTCAGGATTGATTTCCTTTAGGATTGACTGGTTTGATCTCCTTGCTGTCCAAGGGACTCTCAGAGACTTATCTGCAACACCAGTTAAAAAGCATCAATTCATCGGCACTCAGCCTTCAATATGGTCCAAATCTCACATCCATACATGACTACTGGAAAAACCATAGCTTTGACTAGACAGACCTTTGTTGGCAAAGTAATGTCTCTGCTTTTTAATATGCTGTCTAGGTTTGTCTTAGCTTTTCTTCCAAAGAGCAAGTGTCTTTCAATTTCATGGCTGCAGTCATCATTTGCAGTGATTTTGGAGTCCAAGAAAGTAAAGTCTGTCACTGTTTCCATTGTTTCCCATCTATTTGCCATGAACTGATGGGACCAGAGGCCATGATCTTGAATTTCTGAATGTTGAGTTTTAAGCCAGCTTTTCCACTCTCCTCTTTCATTTTAATCAAGAGGCTCTTTTAGTTCCTCTTTGCTTTCTTCCATAAGGGTGATGTCATCTGCATCTTTGAGGTTATTGATATTTCTCCCAGCAATCTTGATTCCAGCTTGTGCTTCATCCAGCCCAGCATTTCACATGATGTACTCTGCATATAAGTTAAATAAGCAGGGTAACAATATACAGCCTTGACGTACTCCTTCCCCAACTTGGAATCAGTCTATTGTTCCATGTCGGATCTCACTGTTGCCTCTTTTTATTTTTTAATTGAAGGATAAATGCTTTACAGAATTTTGTTGTTTTCTATTAACTGTTGCTTCTTGACCTGCATACAGATTCCTCAGGAGGCAGGTAAGGTGGTCTGATATTCCCATCTCTTTAAGAATTTTTCACAGTTTGTTGTGATCCACATAGACAAAGGCTTTAGGTAGTGAATGAAGCACAAGTAGATATTTTCCTGGAACGTCTTGCTTTTTCTATGATCCAACCAATGTTGGCAACTTCATCTCTGGTTCCTCTGCCTTTTCTAAATCCAGATTGAACATCTGAAAGTTCTCAGTTCATGCACTGTTGAATACTACCTTGGAGAATTTTGAGCATTACTTTACTAGCGTGTGAGATAAGTGTAACTGTGTGGGAGTTTGAACATTCTTTGGCATTGCCTTCTATGGGAATGAAATGAAAAGTGATCTTTTCCAGTCCTGTGGCCACTGCTGAGTTTTTCAAATTTGTTGGCATATTGAGTCAACAGATCATCATTTAAGATTTGAAATAGCCTAGCTGAAATTCCATCATTTCCACTAGCTCTGTCCTAGTGATGCTTCCTAAGGCCCACTTGACTTTACATTCCAGGATGTCTGGCTCTAGGTGAGTGATCACACCATCATGATTATCTGGGTCATTAAGATCTTTTTTGGATAGTTCGTCTATGTATTCTTGCCACCTCTTCTTAATATCTTCTGCTTCTGTTAGGTCCATACTGTTTCTGTCCTTTATCGTGCCCATCTTTGCAGGCAATGTTCCCTTGGTATTTCTGATTTTCTTGGAGATCTCTAGTCTTTCCCATTCTATTGTTTTCCTTTTTTTTTTGCATTGATCAGTTAGAAAGGCCTTCTTATCTCTCCTTGCTATTCTTTGGAACTCTGCATTCAGATCGGTGTATCTTTCCTTTTCTCCTTTGCTTCTCTTCTTTTCTCAGCTATTTGTAAGGCCTCCACAGACAACCATTTTGTCTTTTTGCATTTCTTTTCCTTGGGGATGGCTTTGTTCACCACTCCTGTACAATGTTTTGAACCTCCATCCAGAGTTCTTCAAGGACTCTGTCTATCAGATCTAATCCTTTGAATCTATTTGTCACTTTCACTGTATAATCATAAGGGATTTGATTTAGATCATACCTGAATGATATAGTGGTTTTCCCTACTTTTTCCAATCTAAGTCTGAATTTTGCAATAAGGAGTTCACGATCTGAGCCAGTCAGCTCCCAGTTTTGTTTTTGCTGACTGTATAGAGCTTCTCCATCTTCAGCTGCAAAGAATATAATCAATCTGACTTCAGTATTGACCATCTAGTGATGTCCATATGTAGAGTCATCACTTGTGTTGTTGGTATGACTACTATGTTCTCTTGGTAAAACTCTGTTAGCCTTTGCCCTGCTTCATTCTGTACTCCAAGGCCAAACATACCTGTTACTCCAGGTATCTCTTGAGGTCCTACTTTTGCATTCCAATCCTCTATGATGAAAAGGACATCTTTTTTTGGTGTTAGTTCTAGAAGGTCTTGTAGGTCATCATAGAATCATTCAACTTCAGCTTCTTCAGCATTACTAGTCAGGTCACAGACTTGGATTACTGTGATGTTGAATGATTTGCCTTGGAAATGAACAGAGATCAGCCTGTCGTTTTTGAGACTGCACCTAAGTACTGCATTTTGGACTCTTGTTGACTACGAGGGCTACTCCATTTCTTCTAAGGGATTCTTGCCCACAGTAGTAGATATAATGGTCATCTGAATTAAGTTCGCCCATTCTGGTCCATTTTACTTCACTGATTCCTAAAATGTCGATGTTCATTCTTGCCATCTCCTGCTTGACCTCTTCCAATCTAACTTGATTCATGGACCTAACATTCCAGATTCCTATGCAATATCGTTCTTTACAGCATCAAACTTTACTTCCATCACCGGTCACATCCACAAATGGGTGTTGTTTTTGCTTTGGCTCCATCTCTTCATTCTTTCTGGAGTTATTTCTCTACTCTTCTCCAGTAGCAGACTGGATACGTACTGACCTGGGAAGTTCATCTTTCACTGTCATACTTTGTTGCCTTTTCATACTGTTCATGGGGTTCTCAAGGCAGGAATACTGCTGAAGTAGTTTCCTATTCCCTTCTCCAGTGGACCATGGTTTGTCAGCACTCTCCATCATGACCTGTCCATCTTGGGTGGCCCTAGACAGCATGGCTCTTAGTTTCATTAAGTTAGACAAGTCTGTGATCCATGTGATCAGTTTGGTTAGATTTCTGCAAGTGTGGTTTTCATTCTGTCTGCCCTCTGATGGGTAAGGATAAGAGGCTTTTGGAAGCTTCCTGATGGGAGGGGCTGGCTGTCTAGCTCTGATTGGTGGGGCCATCAGTAGATCTTTAATCCATTTTTCTGTTGATGGCTGGGGCTGTGTTCCTTCCCTGTAGTTTGGCATGGGTAATGCCAAACAGTAATGGCAGCCTCCCTTAAAAGGAATCATGCCAGTATGCTGCAGCTCTGAGGACTGTTGTATTCAGTGAGCCTCACCCCGTGGCAGGACTGTCATAGGCAAGTCTGGCTCAGTCTCTGGTGGGGACACTGCTCCTTTCTCCTGGGTCCTGATGCACAAGATTTTGTTTGCGCACTCTGCAAGAGCCTGTTTTCCCAGTCCTGTAATCCTGGAAGTTCTATAATCAAATCCCCTGGCCTCCAAAGTCAAATTCCTTCGCATCCTCAGTCCCTTTGCTGGAATCCCAGGTTGGGAAATCTGTTGTGGGCCCTTGAATTTTTGTAACATGGTGCAAGAACTTCTTTGGAATAATTGTTCTCCAGTTCATGGGTCGTCTACTCAGTGGCTCCATGATGAGCCTAATGGCAACCTGCTCCAAGAGGACTTAGGCTACACGCCGTGCCTCCCAGGTCTGCTGCAGCCAGAGCCCCTGTTCCCACGGCAGGCCACTATTGACCCACGCCTCCACAAGAGACACTCCAACAATCAAAGGCAGGTCTGGCTGTCTCCGTGGGGTCCCTGGGTCCTGGTGTGCACAAAGTTTTGTTTGAGCCCTCCAAGTATGTCTGGCTGGTACTGGGTTTGATTCTAAATGCAACTTCGCCCTTCCTACCGTCCTGCTGGGCCTTCCTTCTCCTTTGCCCTTGGATGTGGAGTATCTCTTTTTGATGGGATGCAACAGTCTCCTGTCAAAGGTGGTTCAGCAGTGACTTGCAATTTTGGAGTTCTTGCAGAAGATGAACACACATCCTTCTACTCTGCCATCATTACCATCTTTTTCCTAATTATTATTCTTACAACCAATAACTTATAATCTTTAAGAATGTAATTAAAAATTATTCATAGTAATGTTGTTGTTCAGTTGCTAAGTCATATCCAACTCTTTCCATCCCATGGACTGCAGCATACCAGGCTTCCCTGTCCATCACTATTTCCCAGAGTGTGTTCAAATTCATGTCCGCTGAGTTGGTGATGCCATCAACCATCTCATCCTCTGCCACTCCCTTCTCCTTCTGCCTTCAATCTTTTCCAGCATAGGAATGTTTCCCAATGAGTTGCCTCTTCACATCTGGTAACCGAACTACTGGAGCTTCAATTTCAGCATCAGGGCTTCCAATTAATATTCAAAGTTGATTTACTTTAGGACTGACTAGCTTGATCTCCCTGCAGTGCAAGGGACTCTTCAGATTCTTCTCCAATACCACAATTCAAAAGCATCACTTTGGTGTTCAGCCTTCTTTATGATCCAACTCTCGTATCTGTAGATAACTACAGGAAAAAACCATAGCTTTGACTAGACAGACCTTTGTTAGCAAAGGGATGTTTCTGCTTTTTAATATGCTGTCTAGGTTTGTCATAGCTTTCCTTCCAAGGAGCAAGTGTCACTGGTTGCAGTCATTGTTCGCAGTGACTCTGGAATCCAAGAAAGGAAGAATCTGTCACTGCTTCCACTCCTTCCCCATCTGTTTGCTGTGATGTGATGGGGCTGGATGCCATGATCTTTGAAGGCTGAGTTTCAAGACAGCTTTTTCACTCTGATCTTTTACCCTCATCAAGAGGATCTGTAGTTCCTCTTCGCTCTCTGCCATTAAAGTGGTATTATCTGCTTATTTGAAGTTGTTGATATTTCTCCCGGCAAACATGATTCCAACTTGCGCTTCATCCAGCCCAGCATTTTGCATGATGTACTCTGCATATAAGTTAAATAAGCAGGGTGACAATATACAGCCTTGATGTTACTCCTTTCTGAGTTTGGAACCAGTCCATTGTTCCTAACTGTTGCTTCTTGATAAAGGTTCTTGATAACCTTTTGCATAAAGGTTTCTGAGGAGACAGGTAAGGTGGTCTGGTATTCCCATCTCTTTAAGAATTTTCCAGTTTGTTGTGATCCATACAAAGGCTTTCTCATAGTCAATGAAATAGAAGCAGATTTGGTGGGGGAAGCGGGGGTAGATTTCCTTGCTTTTTCTGTGATTCAGTCAATGTTGGCAATTTGCTGTCTGGTTCCTCTGTCTTTTCTAAACCCAGCTAGTGCATCTGGAAGTTCTCAATTCACATGCTGTTGAAGCCTAGCTTGAAGAATTTTGAGCATAACTGTACTAACATGTGAAATGAGCACAACCATACGGTAGTTTGAACATTCTTTGGCACTGCCCTTCTTTGGAAATAGAATTAATATTTATAGTAGTAAAAATATCTAAAACCTAAATGGTCAACGATAAGAAATTGTTTTTAAAAAAGGAAACATTAGTCCTTTTCCTTATGACAGACTTCCCCAAAGCCAACAGAACAAATGGACATAACAGAAGGGTATTCAATATAGATGACATGGCAACCTGATGAATGAAAAAGATACAAGCCACTAAAACCAATTCTAGCATTATAACTACTACTGTTAGTAAATATTTGCATTTTTGAAAGCCTGGAAGACTATACACAAAAAAATATTAACAATGATTATTCCCACCTGATGAGGTTTTTTTTGTTTATGCCTTTCTGTAGCTTCAAAGTATTTCTGTCCTAAAACAAATGGCCTTTTGGCTATTTTTTTATGAACCTTAACAATTATCCAGGGATCACAACCTGTATACTCTGTAGCCTCTCTTCCCCTCCCAAGGCTCCACTCCCCAGCAGAAAGCACAAAATAAACATATGCTTACTAAATTAACAGGCTCTAAGAACACTGCTTGAGTCTAGTCCACATATCACAGCTCCCATCAGGTGAGCTGTTACACTGAGCCACAGGAGACTCAGGAAGAGAAGGAAGCAGTCTAGAATCAACAAACTGCCACTCACTAGTCATGACACCTTAGCACCACTGTTAACTTCTGTGGTACTTCTGTGTCCATGCCTGTAAAATGAAATTTTTAGACAACTTTTTCTACTCGTGGAAAAAATTCACATTTTCTGGCAATACAAGAAAAATTTAAACAGAAAAATTTTCTCTGCCCTATGGCCTTTCTCTCCTTGCTGTGCATGGTATAGTCACATTAGTAAAGCTGAAATCACTCAGTCGTGTCCAACTCTTTGCGACCCCATGGACTGTAGCTTACCAGGCTCCTATGTCCATGGAATTTTCTAGGCAAGTGTACTGGAGTGGATTGCCACTTCCTTCTCCAGGGGATTTTCTCACCCAGGAATCGAACCTGGCATTGCAGGCAGACACTTGACCGTCTGAGCCACCAGGGAAGCCCCCGTGTATTCACATTATGCACGGACTAAACCTACTCATCAGCAGATAGGCCTGCTCAACCAAAGAGAAATATTGTACCAGGATCAACAAGTAATGCCTTAAAAGAAAACCCTCCTTCTTGATTTTGTAAGAGGCCATGAGGAGGCTTAGATCAGGACTGTGTAAACTGTCAATAATATTATTTAATGTACAACCTTCTATCTCAAAAAACTTATATTAACTGTGCCTTGACTTGTAATAGGCTCAATAGTTCTCAGAAATTTCTGAGATGCTGTTCCTGGGGTATAATCCTATATTTGGCCTGAATAAAATTTTCTATCCCTTTTTTAGATCCACTGGTTTTTTTTGTCGACATCAACATGGCTGACAAAGTTAAAAAAGAAAATGAAAGTAAAGTACACAGCATAGCATCAGAAGGAGAAAAGGTACACAATGCATCATACTTGCTACTAACATCATTACATGTTTGATTGCTTCTAATTTTTTTCAATTGAATCAAAGTAGGTATATTTCCAAAACATTTTTAATACACTCACATCATCCAATTTTATCAGTGTAAGTTTTTAAATTGAAAACTATTATGACAACGAAAGCAACAAAAGTAGCTACGAATGACAAATATGCATGTGCAAATACAAATTAACACCCCACCCTACTCCCAGAATAGCTATAGTCTTTAAAAAAGACTGACATGCCTCATGTTAATGAGGTCAAGAATGGGCTATAACTCTCATACTGGCTGCTTAAATGTGCAATAAACGCCACAGTCACATTGGGAAATTGTACACACTCACCCTAGGATCCAGCAAAGTCTAATTCAGAGTATTTACCCAAAAGAAAAAACAAGTGTTCACTAAAGGACTTGTACACAGCATGATCACAGCAGCTTTAAGAATCAAAAATCATCAAATGTCTACCAACAGGAGAATGGATACATCAACAGTGCCATAATCACACAAGAAGCACTTCTCAATAGCAAAAATTAATAATACAACCAACATATTTGAAACTAAAATTCACTATCAAGGCAAAATAAAGCTAACACAAATCAGTACATACTGTATGATATCATTTATGTGAAAATCAAGACTGGCAAAAAGAACTTTTTTCATTTTTGCTTATTTACTGATTTGGTGTTGGCTGCGCTGGTCTTTGTTGCTACCACGTGCTGTCTCCAGTTGCGGCAAGCAGGAGCTACTCTCCAGCTGCAGTGTGTGGGCTTCTAAGCGCAGTGGCTTCTCGCGTTACGGAGCGCGCCAGCTTTCGCAGTTACGCCACTCTGGGCTCAGTAGCTGGGGTGCCCAGGTTTAGTTATTCCTCTGCACGTGGAATCTTCCTGGACTAGGGACTGAACTCAGGTCCCCTGCATTGGCAGGCAGATTCTTAACCACCAGAAGCCCCTTAACCAAGGAAGTCCCCCAGACTGGCTCACGTCATCTGAGAGAGGCAGGAAGGTAGGCCAACTTCACATGCAAAGGGGCACAAAGGCCCTTTCCGGGATGATGGCAATAATTTGCACTATGATTGGGGTACCTGTCAAATTCACTTATTAATAAACAGACACAAAGTGGGTATATTTTATCATACTTAATAACTCAGTTCTTATAAACTACTAAAAAGTTTTAATTACAGAAATATTTGGATGTTACTAAAAGTCTTATGTTTCAAAGTTTTTTTAATTCTGGCAAAGCTTCAATCTCAGCTCACTGGTAAGTAAAATCGCCTCCATCAGCTTACACACACACGTGCACACACACACATTCCTAGGACCATACCTGGATTTCTGCAGTGATGGCTGCATTTAAGGCTGACTCTAAGCCTCCATCAGCCATTAAGCTGCCCACGAGAAGATCAATCATGAATCGACGACCTGGACTTATGTTAACTTCATTACCTGAAACTGGAAAAGGGCAAGTGTTTTCGCCAGTGTGAGGTAAGCACCATCCCCTCCGAGCATCCTCCTGTGCCAGCCCCACCCCCACCCCTGCTCCTGGCCCAAGCCCACCTGCACAGGGGAGGAGGGCAGAGAGTGCCCGTGCCCGCTCCTCAGCCGTGGGCAGCAGCACGGACCACCCGCTCTGCAACACAGCCTGGGCGGCCGCCTGCACAGTGCTCAACACGCCCGCGCTGCTGGCCAGGGCCACCACGGTCTGCTTCAGGCTGCTGAGGAGGCCGCTGCCCAGACCTAAACCAAGGAATTCTGGGTCAACCTGGTGACTAATGGCAGCATGCAACTGAAAGGAGAAAAACAATTTTCACTTAGAAGCCCTTAAAACGAATGCTTTTCAAATTTTTATTAAAGATGAAATAATACCTCAAATTATTCAAAGAGTAAAGGAAAAACTTCCAGTATAGGTATTTTTTTTAACTAGACTAAAAAATGTTTACCCATAGTAATTGAGAATCTGAGGTAAAGTATTTCATAAGAGGAATTTTTTTAAACCTAACTATAAGTACATATACAGAAAAGCTCAATATCAACAAACTTGTTAAACCCTGTGGAAACAGCACCTCTATCGCACTCTCAACCACCGGCACCATAGAAATAAGGACTATAATACAACCAAAAAAGTATTAAAAGAGTAGATAGTCAAACTGAAGGTGTACAAGGAAATGCCTCAAGAGCCAAAGCAGGACTCACACAGACACACACACAACAGGAGCCAAGGGGTTCTGGGCTCTGAGCGCACCAAAGCCTTCTGAGACTATTATAATAATTGAAGGAAAGTTTAAAAATAATTATATTTCACAAATCCTAGGAGGTATTTTCTTTCATGTCTTAACAACCCTAAAATCAGAATGTATCTTATATATTGCAATTGGGAGTGTTCTTCTATTAGCTGCACACACACAAAAAAAGTCCCTGAAGTCAGTGTAACAGACTACCAAGTAATTCAAATACTAATGTAGAAAGAGACATTTAGGTTTAAGGCATCCTATAACCCCTATATTTTTCAGGAAGAGAAATACTGATTAATTTAACATGTTGGGAAATTCACAAATAGTTTAATTTTTCTGTGATATGAGTAATGTCCAGAAATCAAAATTTCAAAACTTAGGAACAACTAAAGGGATTTGAAAGGATAAAATTTGAGAAACTTAATCAAAAGATAATAAAATGATGAATAAACTTACACAAAACATCAGTAATCATAAATATAAAAGATTAAATCCACATATTGAATAAATACTCTCAAACTGAATTCTTTTTATGAATTAAGCTATATGAGTTAATTTTTTAAAAGACACGACTAAAAGACCTTGAAAGACAAAACAAAGCAATGGGAAAACATAGCATTAGGCACATGTGTACCAAGTGGAACCAAGCCTACGATCTGTACAAGCAAGGTCTTTCTCCACAGCACTGACAAAAGCAACAGTGTCACTACCAGACCACGGGAAGCAGCAGAAAGCTGTGTGGGTCCCCGACAAGGACACACCACCGGTGTCCTTGTCAATGAGTTTCCATTAAAGACTTCTGGGGAAGGGGGGTAATCTCTAAACTTCTGCTAATTCCATTTTGCACTTAAAAGTTATATTCACTTTCCTGCTTTCTGAAAGCCAAGACAAAGAGGGGAGAGAACAAAAAGGGGGACATGATGGGTCACATAGAAACCCTCACATTATAAAGGAGGAAAATTATTCTGCTCAGAAATATTGTTCTCTTGACATTAAGCCATAGGAGTTTTATTACAAAGAAAAACATGGTGATCAAAGATTTTAGTTACTGTTTTATTTTTAAAAAGGAAACAAATTTTTGTAGCTTTTTTTAATTTATTTTTTTATTGAAGGATAATTGCTTTACAGAATTTTGTTGTTTTCTGTCAAACCTCAACATGAATCAGCCATAGGTGTACATATATCCCCTCCCTCTAAAACCTCCCTCCCATCTCCCTCCCCATCCCACCCCTCTAGATTGATACAGAGCCCCTGTTTGAGTTTCCTAAGCCATAGAGCAAATTCCCAGCAAATTTCCCCTGGCTATTTATTTTACATATGGTAATGTAAGTGTAGCTTTTCTTATATTGACATTTATCCTTAACCTCTCCTGTGAGGAAGTGGAGGTACTACAGGAGGAAGCAGAACTTCCCGAATGAAGGTCTCCTCTCAGGCCAGAGGAGAGACTGGCAACCACATCCCACTGATCATCTACTGTCACACCCAGTTACTTCTTGACACACAGTAACCGTAAATTCAAGACGGACTCCCTGATGAATGCCAACAAACTCAATTCAGCCATAGTAACACAATCAATATATATATTCTTACCTGCATGCAGAGACTGACTTACAGGATAACCACAAAACAATCAGACTGATTTTTTTAAGCCTCATGAACATTACACTCCATCACAATCTTACTTTAAGACACTTAAAATTTTTCAATAGTAATTCATTTAACAGGCTAAACTCCATGCCCTTTAATATGCATGAACATCATTACAAATACCTAAGACACTTATATAAAGGGGAAAAGGAAAGAAAAATCATTAATACCTGAAGTCGTAGAAGATTGAGTGTTGCCACTGTCATGCACTCTTTCTCTTGAGGCGGGGGCCAGTCAGCAGTGCCATCCATCCCCTCACTCACTTGCCGAAGTAGGAGATCTAACTGCTCAAAAGTCACTGAGCAGATGTCCACCACAAAAGGGACACGAAGGCCAATGGACCACTCAGAACAGGAAGACCAAGCAAAACTCTATGGAAGAAACACAAGAACCTAAAATGAATCTACACATTCAGTTATCAGCCTGTTCCACAAGAGATTCACCATTAGGAATGACAAAGAGGCCCTAAATTACTACTCTTTCATCCCTCTAATTGTCCCAAATACGCAAGCATTTTCAGTTATCTAATTCACATACTAACAGCTTCCAATTTCCTCTCATTTCAGTACTCCGTCTTGTTTTCAAAACTCTGTTTGCTGCAAAAATTAAGCAACTGAGTAAAACTGAATACTAAAAGCTATTCAAATAACCCCAAAGAAGTCTGGAAACAATAAACGAACAAAAAGAAGAAAGCAAACAAAAAAATTAATAAATGATAGGCAAGGGTCTGAACATAAAAACAGAAAAAGAGAGATCATCAGGATACAGCAAAACAAAACCTAACTATACAGTATCTACAAGAAATTTACCTTAAATATAAAGATAAAAGGTGGCTTAGTAAAGGGATGGAAAGTGGCTTTAGGAACCTGGAATCTTAGGTTCATGCATCAAGGTAAATTGGAAGTGGTCAAGCAGGAAATGGCAAGAGTGAACACGGGCATTTTAGGAATTAGAAAACTAAAATGGTTGGGAATGAGTGAATTCAATTCAGATGACCATTAATATCTACTACTGTGGAAAGAATCCCTTAGAAGAAATGGAGTAGCCCTCACAGTCAACAAAAGAGTCTGAAATGCAGCACGTGGGTGCAATCTCAAAAGCAACAAAATGATCTCAGTTCGTTTCTAAGGCAAACCTATTCAACATAACAGTCATTTGAATCTATGCCCCAATCACTAATGCCAAAGAAGCTGAAGTTGAACAGTTCCATAAAGTTCCACAAGACCTTCTAGAACACCCCCCCCAAAAAAAAGATGTCCTTTTCATCATAGGAAATTGGAATGCAAAAGGTGGAAGTCAATAGATACCTGGAACAATAGGCAAGTTTGGCCTTGGAGTATAAAATGAAGCAGGGCAAAGGCTAACAGACTTCTGTCAAGAGAACACGCTAGTCAAAGCAAACACCCTTTTTCAACAACACAAGAAATGACTCCACACATGGACATCACCAGATGGTCAATACTGAAACAAAATTGATCATATCCTTTGCACCTCACAGTGGAAAAGCTCTGTACAGTATGAAAAAACCAGACCTGGACCTGACTGTGATTCAGATCATGAGCTCCTGATTGCAAAACTCAGGCTTAAAGTGAAGAATGTAGGGAAAACGCCATTCAGGTATCACCTAAATCAAATCCGTTATGATTATACGGTAGATGTGACAAATAGCTTCAAGAGATTAGATACGGTAGGAAGAGTGCCTGAAGAACTATGGACAGAGGTTCATAATGTTGTATAGGAGGCACTGATCAAAATCATTCCAAAAGAAATGCAAGGAGGTAAAGTGCATGTGTGAGGAGTCTTTACAAATAGCTGAGGAAAGAGAAGCAAAAGTCAAAGGAGAAAGATATATCCAACTGAGTGCAGAGTTCGAGACAATAGGAAGGACAGATATGAAAGCATTCTTACGTGAACAACGCAAAGAAATATAGGAAAACAACAGAACAGGATAGGAAAGATTAGAGATCTCTTGAAGACATTTGGAGATAATCAAGAGAACACTTAACACAAAGATGGGCACAACAGAGGACAGGAAGCATCAGGATTACATAGAAGCAGAAGAGCTTAAGAAGAGGTGAGAACATGCAGGAGTTACAAGAAAGGCCTTAATGACCTGATAACCACGATTACGGTCACTCACCTAGAGGAGAACATCCTGAAGCTGAAGTCAAGTGGGCCTGAGGAAACATTACCACCAACAAAGCTAGTGGAGGTGATGGTATTCTAGCTGAGCTATTTAAAATCCTAAATGATGATGCTGTAAAAGTGCTGCATTCAGTATGCCAGCAAGTTTGGAAAACTCAGCAATGGCCACAGGACTGGAAAAGGTCAGTTTTCATTCCAATCCCAAAGAAAGGCAATGCCAAAGAATGCTCAAACTACTGTACAATTGCACTCATCTCACACGCCAGCAAAGTAATGCTCAAAATTCTTCAAGCCAGGCTTCAAGAGTACAGGAACCGAAAACTTCCAGATGTAGTGACTGGGTTTAGAAAAGGAAGAGGGACCAGAGATCGAACTGCCAACTTTTGTTGGATCACAGAAAAAGCAAGGGAATTCCAGAAAACATCTACTTCTGCTTCACTGACTACGCTAAACCCTTTGACTGTGTGGGTCACAACATTCACAACAAACTAGAAAATTCTTACAGAGACAGGAATATACCTGTTTCCTGAGAAACCCTTATGCAGGTCAAGAAGCAACAGTTAGAACTGGACATGGAACAATGGAGTGGTTCCAAATTTGGAAAGGAGTATGTCAAGCCTATATACTGTCACCCTGCCTATTTAACTTATATGCAGAGTACATCATGCTAAATGTGGGCTGAATGAATCACAAGCTAGATTCAAGATTGCCAGGAGAAATATCAAGAACTTCAGATATGCAGACGATACTGCTCTAACAGTAGAAAGAGAACAGGAATTAAAGAACCTCTTGAAAAAGGTGAAAGAGAAGAGTGAAAAAGATGGCTTAAAACTCAACGTTCAAAAACCTAAGATCATGGCATCCAGTCCCATTACTTCATGGCAAAGAGATGGGGAAAAAAAAAAGAAACAGTGACAGATTTTATTTTCTTGGGCTCCAAAATCACTGGGGGCAGTAACTGCAGCCATGAAATTCAAAGATGCTTGCTCCTTGGAAGAAAAGCTATAAGAAACCTAGGCAGCATATTAAAAAGCAAAGACATCACTCTGCTTCAAAGGACCATATGGTCAAAGGTATGGTTTCTCCAATAGTCATGTATGGATGACTATGGATGTATATGTATAGACATGTATAGGACGTGTTATAGCACATGTATGGTGCTATGGAAGACTCCTGAGAATCCTTGAACTGCAACGAGATCAAACCAGTCAACCCTAAAGGACATCAGTCCTTAACATTTATTGGAAGAACTGATGCTGAAGGTGAAGCCCTAATACTCTGGCTACCTGATGCAATAAGCCAACTCATTGGAAAAAACTCTGATGCTGGGAAAGATTGAGGGCAGAAGAAATGGTGACAGAGGATGAGATGGTTGGATAGCATCAACAACTCAATGGACATGAGTTTGAGCAAACTCTGGGAGACACTGAAGGACAGGGAAGCCTGGTGTGCTGTAGTCCATGAAGTCACAAAGAGTTGGACAGGACTTAGCAACTGAACGAAACAAAAATCCTCTTTGATCTACCTCCTACAGTAATGAAAGTTTAAAAATGGGATTTAATTGAACTTAAAAGCTTTTATCAGCAACTATTCAGTCACTATGGCATGTCCAACTCTTTGGCGATTCCACAGACTGTAACCCACCATGCTCCTCTGGCCATAGGATTTCCCAGGCAAGAATACTGCAATGGGTTGCCATTTCCTTCTGCAGGGGATCTTCCTGAGCCAGGGATGAATCCACATCTCCTGCTTTAGCAAGCAGATTCTTTACCACTGAGCCACCAGGGAAGCCCCATGCATAGCAAGGAAACTCTAAACAAGGTGAAGACAACCCCCAGAAAGGCAGAAAAGAGTTATTGCAAATGTAACAACTGACAAAGGATTAATTTCCAAAATATACAAGCAGTTCATATAGCTCAACAGCAGAAAAAACAAAAAACCCAATCAAAAAATGGGCAGGAGACCTAAACATTTCTCCAAAGAAGACATACAGATGGCTAAAAAACATATGAAAAGATGCTCAACATCACTCATTATTAGAGAAATGCAAATCAAAACTACAATGAGGTATCACCTCACATCAGCCAGAATGGCCATCAGCAAAAAAAATCTACAAACAATAAATGAGTGTGGAAAGAAAGAAACAATCTTGCACTGTTGGTGGACATATAAACTGTTACAGCCACTATAGAGAACAGTATGGTGATTCCTTTAAAAACTAGGACTAAAACTACCATATAGCCCAGTAATTCCCACTACTGGGCATATACCCTAAGAAACCATAACTGAAGAAGGCACGTGCACCCCAATGTTCATCGCAGCACTATTTCTTATAGCCAGGACATGGAAGAAACCTCTGTCCATCAACAGAGGAATGGATAAAGAAGTTGTGGTACATATATATACAATGGAGTATTACTCAGCCATAAAAAGGAACAAATCTGAGTCAGTTCTAGTGAGGTAGCTGAACCTAAAGCCTGTTGTACAGAGTGAAGTAAGCCAGAAAGAGAAAAGCAAATACTGTACGTTAATGCACATATATGTGAAATCTAGAAAACTGATACTGATAAACTTATATTCACGCAGGAACAGAGATGCAGACATAGAGAACAGGCTTGTAGACACAGAAGGGGAAGTAGAGGTGAGACGAATTGAGAAAGTAGCACTGAAACATATACATTACCATGTGTAAAACAGACAGCTAATGGGAGTTGCTCTGACACAGGAAGCTCACCACAATGTTCTGTGATAACCTAGAGGGGCAGGGTGGGGCTGGGGGGAGGCCAAGAGGGACGGACAAAAGCTAGCGGAGGTGATGGAATTCCAGTTGAGCTATTACAAATCCTGAAAGATGATGCTGTGAAAGTGCTGTACTCAATGTGCCAGCAAATTTGGAAAACTCAGCAGTGGCCACAGGACTGGAAAGTCAGTTTTCATTCCAATCCCAAAAAAAGGCAATGCCAAAGCATGCTCAAACTACTGCACAATTGCACTCATCTCACACACTAGTAAAGCGATGCTCAAAATTCTTCAAGCCAGGCTTCAGCAATACGTGAACCATGAACTTCCAGATGTTCAAGCTGGTTTTAGAAAACGCAGAGGAACCAGAAACCAAATTGCCAACAACCGCTGGATCATCAAAAAAGCAAGAGAGTTCCAGAAAAACATCTATTTCTGCTTTATTGACTATGCCAAAGCCTTTGACTGTGTGGATCACAATAAACTGTTGAAAATTCTGAAAGAGATGGGAATACCAGACCACCTGACCTGCTTCTTGAGAAACCTGTATGCAGGTCAGGAAGCAACAGTTAGAACTGGACATGGAACAATAGACTGGACATGGTTCCAAATAGGAAAAGGAGTACATCAAGGCTGTATACTGTCACCCTGCTTATTTAACTTATATGCAGAGTACATCATGAGAATTGCTGGGCTGGAAGAAGGACAAGCTGGAATAAAGATTGCCTGGAGAAATGTCAATAACCTCAGATACGCAGATGACACCACCCTTATGGCAGAAAGTGAAGAGGAACTAAAAAGCCTCCTGATGAAAGTGAAAGAGGAGAGTGAAAAAGTTGGCTTAAAGCTCAACATTCAGAAAACTAAGATCATGGCATCTGGTCCCATCACTTCATGGGAAATAGATGGGAAAACAGTGGAAACAGTGTCAAACTTTATCTTTTTGGGCTCCAAAATCACGTCAGATGGTGATTGCAGCCATGAAATTAAAAGACCCTTACTCCTAGGAAAGAAAGTTATGACCAACCTAGACAGCGTATTAAAAAGCAGAGACATTACTTTGCCAACAAAAGTCCGTCTGGTCAAGGCTATGGTTTTTCCAGTGGTCATGTATTGATGTGAGCGTTGGACTGTGAAGAAAGCTGAGTGCTGAAAAATTGATGCTTTTGAACTGTGGTGTTGGAGAAGACTCTTGAGAGTCCCTTGGACCGCAAGGAGATCCAAGCAGTCCATCCTAAAGGAGATCAGTCCTGGGTGTTCATTAAAGGACTGATGCTGAAGCTGAAACTCCAAAACTTTGGCCACCTGATGCGAAGAGTTGACTCATCTGAAAAGACCCTGATGCTGGGAGGGATTGGGGGCAGGAGGAGAAGGGGACGCCAGAGGATGAGATGGCTGGATGGCATCACCGACTCAATGGACATGAGTCTGAGTAAACTCCAGGAGTTGGTGATGGACAGGGAGGCCTGGCGTGCTGCAATTCATGGGGTCACATAGAGTCGGACATGACTGAGAGACTGAACTAAACTGAACTGAGAAAAACTGAGTAATACTATCAATGAACTATATCTAACTGACATTTAAAGAACACTTCGCCAACAATGGTGAAACACATCAACAGCAAAATAAACACTGTTTTTAAGCACATATGCAGACCATTCACAAAGAGAATACATTCTAAGATAAAAAACAAATCAAGAACTGAAATCATACAGAGTTTATTCTCTAAGCACAATGGTCAACTAAACTAGAAATCAGTACCAAAGATAAAAGAATGATGTCCAAAAATTTTGAAACTAAACAACACACTTAATGCATAGGGCAAAGAGCAATTCTCAAAACAAACCAGAGCTCAACAAAAATGAAAATATATCAAGATTTGTGGATCCAACTGAAGCACTACTTAGAGGAAAAATTATAGTATCAAATGCTTACATACTACAAAAGAACAAATGTCTAAAGTCAACAACCTAAGCTTTCTCCTGAACAAACTAAAAAAACAGTAAAGACACACCCAGGCAAACTGGAAGGGGAAAAGGGACAAGCGAAGGAACCGATGAAACGGAAAGCAAAAGAACAGGGAAAATCAGTGAAGCTAAAAGCTAGTTCTTTGAAAAGATGAGCAAAATGGATAAACCTGTAATAAAAGTGGCAAAGAGAAAAGGCACAAATTACCCATACCAGGAATGAATGAGGATATCACTGCAGACCCCAAAACTTCAAAAGGTCAGTAAGAAAACGCTAACAAGGAAAATGTTACATACAGAAACGGGGTAACTTAGAATGGAGCAATGCCTGCAGCATCACAAACCAGGAACACTCACCGAAGAGGAAATAATTCGAACAATTCAATATTAAAAAACTGAGTCTGTGGTTAAAAATCTTTGGAAAAAGACATCTCCAGGGTCATATAAATTCATAGGAAAACATTTAAAAAGAAATGACACTAATTCTACTCAACCCATTCCAAAAAACAGAACACTTGCCAATACTATGTATGAGACCAGTTTTACCCTGGTAAAAAGGCAAGAGAGTTGTTTTCTAAGAAAGCCACCAACTAGTATCTCTGAAGAGCACTGACAGAAAAACTCTCAACAGTGTATTAGCAAATCAAACCCAACAATATAGAAAAAGAAGACCAAGTGGAGATTATCTTAAAAACACAAGGTTCACCCGATATTAGAAAATCAATGCATTCCACTATATAAACAGACTAAAGAAGGAAAACACGATCATAACATTGAGAAGAAAAGGCATTTGACAAAGGACTACACATACAAGTCAAGTATATTTCTACATACTAGCAACAATTGACAGGAAATTAAAATTCTATAAAATACCAAGCTATCTACTCTGTACCTGGGCCGGCCCACAGGCAATCCCGACTATATGTTTGGTGTCCAGTCCAGGCAGTGCAGAGGGTTCTGGCTTGGTCACACGCAAGGTGTCAAAGTGCTGGCACTGGTCATTGCTCCCCCAGCTGTGGACCTCACTGTCCTCAGTCAGGGCCAGGCAGTGGGTGGACCCTGCAGCCACATCAATCACCTTCTTCCCTGGGGGGAAAGGAGGATGCAGATATAGCTTTATGCCTATGACTTGTGTTGCAATAAAGATATTTACTCTAGGCCACTCAGGTCAGAAGGCATTTAATGTCATTGCTTTAATATTATTCACAATTCATCTGCTTTATGTACATTATTAAAACCTCCACTGTGTTTTACTAGCTACAATCTATTAAGACCTACAGCCTACAAATAAAATAATACTGTGAAATGAAAAGGATCTGTTCATTTTCCTCATCCTTGTTCAGAAAAAGACAACTGTACTTTGAATTAACTAGAGATCATATTTTCTTATCCCAAAGTATAACCATGCAAAGCGTACTCCTTTTTAAAAGACTATGTTTTTGGAACAGTTATACGTTCACAGTGAAACTGAGGAGAAGGCACATATCTGTGATATACTCCTGATCCCAATGGACACTAAGTCTCTTCCCATTACTAATTATTCATTTTTTTTCACACAAGACATCCAGTTCTTCTGACATCATTTGTTGAAATGACAATCTTTGCTCCACTGTATTGCCTTTACTCCTCTGCCAAGGATCAGTTAACTACATTTATGTAGATCTATTTCCAAGCTCTCTCTTCTTTTCTCCTTTTCTCGTGATCGTACTAGGTGTTCAGTCACTCAGCCATGTCCGACTCTTTGCAACCCTTTGGACTGTAACCTGCCAGGCTCCTCTGTCATGGGATTTTTCAGGCAAGAATGCTGGAGTGGGTTGCCATTTCCTCCTCCAGGGGATCCTTCCAACCCAGGGATCGAACATGTGTCTCCTGGGTCTTCTGCACTGCAGGTAGACTCTTTACCTGCTGAGCCACCAGGAAAGCCCATAAAGATCATATTTTAGCCAATACCAAATTGTTCTGATCACTGCAGCTTTATAGTTAAGTCTTGAAGTTGGACAGTATAAGTCTTACAACTTGCTCTTCTCCTGTAATATTGTGTTGGCCATTTTGCCTCTCGATATAAACTTTAGACTCGGTTTGTTGATATTCAGAAAATAACTTTCTGGGATTTTGATTGGAATTGCATTAAATCTATAAATTACGTTGGAAAGAACTGACATCTTAACAATATTCAGTGTTCCTATCAATGAACTTAGAATATCTTTCCATTTAAAAAATTTTTTCTTTGATTTCATTCATCAGTTTTATAGCTTTCCTCATATAGATCTCATATATATTTAGATTTATACTTATGTATTTCATTCTTAGGTTGTTAATGCAAACAGTATTGTATATTTAATTCCAAATTCTACTTGTTAGTTGCCAGTATGTAAGAAAGAAATTAACTTTGGCATATTAACCTTGTATGTCACAACCTTGTTAGTTCCAGGAGGGTCTTTTGGTCAATTCTTTCAAATTTTCAACATAAACAATCAAGTCATCTGTGAACAAAGTTTTATTTATTCTTTCTCAATCTGTACAGCTTTTATTTCCTTTTCTTGTTTTATTGCATTAGCTAAACTTCCAGTAATAATTTGGACAGAAAATGATGAAATGGAACATCCTTTCTCCATGACAACACCCAACCAGATGTCGCACAACAAATGCATCACAAGTTGAACAAGTTGGGCTATGAAGTTTTGCCTCATCTGCCATATTCACCTGACCTCTCATCAACCATCTACCACTTCTTCAAGCATTCCAACAACTTTTTGCAGGGAAAACACTTCCTCAACCAGCAGGAGGCAGAAAATGCTTTCCAAGAGTTCGCTGAATCCCAAAGCATAGATTTTTAAGTGACAGGAATAAACAAACTTATTTCTCATTAGCGAAAATGTGCTGATTACAATGGTTCCTATTTTGATTAATAAAAATGTGTTTGAGCCTAGTTATAATGGTTTAAAATTCATGGTCAGAAACCACAATTACGTTTGCATGAACCTAATAGTCTTTATCAAGTTGAAGAAGTTTCCTCTATTCCTAATTTATTGGGTTTTTTTTAATCACAAATGGGTAGTGAAATTTTGTCAAAAGCTTTTTTTGCACTTATTGATACAATCATGTGATTTTTCTTCTTTTGTCTGTCAACTTGATGGATTACATTAACTGATTTTTAACACTGAACCAGCCTTTCACATGTGTCTTGAGTTCATATATATATATTTATTATTATATTTTTTTCTTTATATGTCACCCATCAATGGACACTACAGTTAGATACATGTCTTAGCTATTGTGAATAATGCTGCAATAAACATGTGGATGCAGATGTTTTTTTGAGTTAGTGTCTTTGATATCCAGAAGTAGAACTGCTGGCAGTTCTATTTTTATTTTTTGAGGAACCTCCATACTGTTTTCCAGAGTGGCTCCACCAGTTTACAGTCCCACCAACAGGCACAAAGTTTCCCTTATCTCTACACCCTTGCCATCTCTTGTTATTTCTTGTCCTTTGATAACAGACATTCTGAGAGGTAAGAGGTGATATCTCAATGTTTTGAAATGTATTTCATTGATGATTAGTGATGTTGAACATCTTTTCATGTACCTGCTAGCCATAATATGTTTTCTTTGGAAAAAAGACTATTCAGATCTTTTTTTTTTTTTGCTCTTGAGTTATATAAGATTTATATATTTTGAATATTAACTCCTTATCAAATATATGACTTACAAAAATTTCCAGCCATTTCATAGTTTGCCGTTTCATTTCTTTGATGGTTTCCTTTGCTAGACAGAAAGATTATTGATTTTAGATCTCTCTTCTTATATATTTGAAGCTATAAATTTCCATCTAAGCTTTCACTGTATCCCACAAATTTTAACAAGTTGTATTTTCATTTAGTTTAAAATATTTTAAAATTTCTTTTGAGATGTCTTCATTGACCTATGTTTTATCTGGAAGTAAACTATTTTATCTCTATGTATTTGGGGATTTTCCAGCTAACTTTCGTTATTGACTTCTGGTTAATTCCATTGTAGTCTGAGAGGAGATACTGATTTCTCTCCTTTTAAACTGTTAAGGTGTGTTTTATGGCCTGGTCTATCTTGGTGAAAGTCAAAGTCTACTGCTTATTTAGAAAGTTTTCTAAAACAAAATCTTTTATTTTTCTCCAAAGTTAAATGATATAAATATAAAATATATTTTTCTATTTAATAGTGTTAGCAAAGTATTATAATTGTGCCTATTGGTATATTAAACATGACAAAAACATACTATGTCATGTTAAGAGGTCATGCTTAACATAAGGTCATGCTTGCAGACATATCAACATAAAAAAAATTCAGCCGAAAAAACTCTACTACAGTAAGAAAAACAATTCTATCCTAAGAGCCTCTCCTAAGAACAAATAACTATATCAACAATTACCTAAATACTCTCATAGTAAGCTATCCCTGTATCTAAATAATGGGGCTGAGGAACTTGATTTCATCTAGTAAATGAAGGGAATAAATAAACACAAAGGCAAATAAATAAACACAAAGGCAAATAAAATTTAAATACAGCTCCATAGTAAACAACCAACTGTATTAACTCTAGAACTTACCTCAGATACTTAGAAAATAATAAACACCATGTGAACACACAAAACTTCTAATCACCAAAGTATTAGCATGCTTTAAAATAAAAATGATGGGGAAATGAACTGGCAAGTCCCACTTAAAATTCTCACTTCTAAACTGAAAGCAAAAACATACAGATGAACCCAAGTAAGTAACCCAACAAACTGTGTTCTGTGTGCCAACTGCAGCGCAAGGCCCGTCTCTGAGAATCCACGTGCACTGAAACACAGGTCCGTTTGTTCTCCCACTGTCTATGCTGCTTTACGGCTACCGTAGCAAGGCTGGGTGGTGAGGAGAGACGGCATATGGCCCTCAAACCTAAAATCACACAGAGAGCCTGGTCCAATAACACAGCCTGCCCGCCTCACGCAGTGCAGCAAGAGCGCACTACAGGTCCCCCTTGATACACTCATCACCAGCCTCTCCCCTACTTCTGAGGGTATTTGCAAAGCACGCCATGCCTGGGCTCTCATCCCTCCTGTCTACTGAGAATGCATACCAGACACCTTGAGACCAAAGAGAGAGGATGCACCCAGCAAGGATCAGTCCAAACAAGACCACTCCAGGCTGACCCAATCCTGTCTCCCTTTGTGCTACATACATATCCATAGTCTTAGCAAGATCTGCAGGATAACTACAGATGACCTCACCAAACAGAAGCTAATCTCACTGAAGCCGATTTAATGAGTAATGAAATGAGTACTTACCCCACACACACATACACAGACAAACCTCTCCAATAAAACAGAAAAAACAAACAAAAAAGAACTCTCCAATATTGGTAAAATTTAAAGTTTCAAATTAAACTTGCTGAGAATTCTAGGTCACTTTTCAATATAGACAAATCACTTTCCATCTATTATCTATACCTATTAAAATGTGGGTAAAAGCTTCTAATTTTATGGGTCATTCATGGAATGTCAGGTAAAGAAAAATACCTGCAAACTTTAAAAGATTACTGAAGAAAACTCCTCAAACGGTTTTAAAAGTTTACATTTTGCACTCACCTTGCAATCCTTCCAAGAGTTTGGGATAACGGACATGTTCCTCTGTTCCATGCCCAAGTCTCTGGTTGTCACCTTTTCCCCATGAATAGACTTGGCCATCTTTTGTCAAGGCAATAGAAAATTGACTTCCACATCGGACTTTGACAACATCCAAGTCTTGTAGCTTTTCAATCAGCTTTGGCGTTTTGCAGCCATCACTACCACCTCTGCCCAATTTCCCATAGTCACCATCTCCCCAGGACCACACTTGACCTAAAAAGTACAAATTAACTGAGTAAAAATAGCTATACATCTAAATAAGCCTTTTAAATGTCTGAAAATAATCAATATAGCCAAAAACACACAAAAATCTAGATCACTAATGTATATAGTTGACACAAATGAAATCTAGTTTCTCTCTCAGGTTGTTACAGAAGCAATTAAGAAATGGAGAGACTTCCCTGGCAGCTAAGAATCTACCTTCCAGTGCAGGGGACAGAGTTCAGTCCTGGCTGGGGAACTGAGATCCCATATACCTCAGGGGAACTAAGCCTGGGCTCGGCAACTACTGGGCCCACACACCTCCACTTAGAAAAGGTCTCATGCCACAATAAAGGACCCCACGCCGCAACGAAGACCTGACTTGGCCAAAAAAATTAAAAACTTTAAAAGACAGTTACGAAGTGGAAACCCAACTTTTCATTTTGTTTCAACTGAATGAATAGTAAAGTTCTGTGTGTGCTAAGTCACTTCAGTCCTGTCCGGCTCTTTGCAATCCTATGGACTGCAGCCCTCCAGGCTCCTCTGTCCGTGGGAGTACTCAGCAAGAATACTGAAGGTACTGAAGGGGGCTGCCATGCTCCTCCAGGTATCTCCTGGACCCAAGGATTGAGCCAGGGTCTCCTGCACTGGCAGGTGGGCTCTTTACTACTACTGCCACCTGGGGGAGCAATAACGTCCTAATCCTTACTAGTCTGGCTTCATGAGACAGCTTTCACCAAGTACTAAACACGGAGCAAAAGCTCTAGTGCCTCCATAAACACAGTAACTGGACCCACGGCATACTGCACGCCATTCTCAGGCCTGCCTGTACACAGTTCTTGATCCGCTGACCACATGTCAAACATACAACACTATTTATTCCCAGTAAAAATTTTAGTGCAATTTAATTAAATATTACATAAAGAGATAAAATAAAGTTGCTCTCTGTGGGAGGGCAAGGCTGACAGGCTCCCAACTAATACTGAGAGACAGACCCCACAATTCAAAGGACAGACTCCCACAACACTGAAAGACAAATACCGTTTAAAAAATCAATATTGGGAATTCCCTGGCATTCCAGTGGTTAGGACTCTGCACTCTCACTGCTGAGGGCCCAGGTTCAATCCCTGGTCAGGGAACTAAAAACCCCACAAGCCACACAGTGCAGTCAAAAAAAAATCAACATCAACCTGGTAAGTATGTCCACAAAAAGTGTCACAGGAGTACAATCTCACTAATGAACACAAATACAAAACTGAAATTAAAAGCAAGTATCATACTGTGAATACACAAAGACTAACAATAAGCTGGATCTACCACAGAGAATCAAGGATGGCTCAACATGAGGAAGAGTAATCATAATAACAGAAATATTACATGAATTACTCCATTTATTTTCATTTCTTTGTTAAAAATAAAGTGGCCAAATAGGAAGGATGGCTCTGGGCAATGGAAACCACAAGTCCCATAACATCTCTACCTTTCCCAAAGACACAGAGGTGCATGTGCACTGAAGCCCCCAAAGCTCACTCCCTCTAGGGAAGTGGCCCCCCTCCTCCTGAGAGCCCTCCCAAGGCGGCGCGTGCCCCACATACCATTCTCTGTCACGGCCAGGGTCTGAGCATCACCACTTCCACACGCCACATCAATGACCTTCAGTCCTTTGAGCCCAGCAACCAGCATGGGGATGGCCTCATCTTCACTGGAGCCTTCAAACAGACAGGACTACTGTTACTGCACGGATCTGAGAAAGCAGCAGCCTCACGCAGCACGCCCAGGCGGGCCCAGAGTAGACATACCGTGGCCCAGTCGGCCATAGTTCCCCCTGCCCCAGGTGTAGAGCTCCCCTTCAGCTGTGATGGCCGCGCTGTACGTGCTCCCACACGCAATGTGCACCACGTGCTTCCCGGCCTGCTTTCCAGAGAAAGCAGAGATCACCTTAGGTTCCTCAAGAGGCCTGTGGAGACAACAGGAACAAACATGGGTGCACTTCTGAGCCCTTCCTACTAGTGACACTCCCGGGAATAAACTGGGGCATCAAGATAACTTTGCCTTTCAGGCGTCTTATGAAATAACTAAGAAATACAGAATTTAAACACTGGCGTGAATTTCTGTTAAGTGGGCACCTAAGGCCAAGCGTCACACCCAGCATGCTGTTAAAGACACAGGTGATCAAGCCCATGGCAGCTCTGGTCAGAGTGGTCTGAACAGCGGCCTGTTCACAGGTAGCACACGTGCAGCAACACGGAGCTGCACTGAGCGCCACAGCCAGAAACAGACACTCCCCAGTGGCAAAAACCAGCAGCCAGAGGTGGGGGCAGCGGGTGGCGGCAGAACGGCCCAGAGAAGCCAGGGGTGGGGTGCTAACAGCAGCACTCTGTATCTCAGTCACAGTGGCTCCCAGCCTCAGGCGTTTGTGAAGCTCACCAAACTGTACATGGAAAGCTGGTGAATTTGTAAATCTCATGCGTATGACTGAAATTTATATATATTTGTTAAAACAAACAGGGAAGAAATGATGGGCAAGGTTTACTAATCACATTGCAATCTACATTTCACAAACAAAAAGTAGGAAGCAGCAAGGATTAACTGGGTAGAAGAGACCACTAGCTGATTCACTTTCAAAATTAACAAATGCCCAATGCTTATAATCTAAAATATGATCAGTAACACTCATTCTAGCCTGTCCAAAGACACAGCTCACTTATTCTGTGACACACTATTCTGCAAAATAAGCACACAGGAGGAGGGGCACATACGGGAAGAGGAAAAAATGAATTGCTCCAGAACCACCTCCCGATTCAGCTCGTTCCGACTCCCCACCCCAAAGCCTCACTGCAGCTTCGGCACCATTCCACTTCTTTCCCTCAACCCCTCAGACAGCAGACAAGTTAGTCAACTAGCACTTAATCTCAGCTGAGTGTTATTTAGTTACAAACTATTTTATGCATGGTAATTATACTCAACATTTAAAAAGTAAAAAGACTAATGCCTCCAACCCAAACTTCAACCCTTTCAAGTCCTGTGAGCCCCAAGCCAATCCCTGCCTCCCTGTTAACCTAAGATTAACAATAATTCTAAATTCTGTACTTGTAATTCCTTCTCTTCACTATCATTTTACTAGATTTGTCTGAAAGTCCTACAACAGTGTCAAGTTCAGGACATCAAGTCTGCTGAATGCTAACACCCACAGGGCATGACTCTTTTTTCACAATTTGACATCCTGGAGATGTCACGTCCACCCAGTGAGAATGGGCCAGTCTCCTCTCAACTCTGCTGCTGCCCACTCCCTGCTCATGGCTCTGACAGCCCTGAAATGGGGTGCATCTTCAAACTCAACCTAAAACCAGTGTTTTCTCAACCAACCTCCACTCACAACAGTAACATGAAAGGGCTCCTGTGATTCCAAGGCGGCTGTCAGAACTGTTTATTTTCACGACTCCACATTTAGAACAACGATTCTCTTTTGTTTCTGGTCTCTTACAATAATCAAAATAACACATTAGAAAACTTGATTTTTGTAGCTGTGAAAATGATAGTATGGCTCAAGGAAATAAGGACATTATCTGATAGAGATGTGCTGAGGTAATAAATGAAGGAAGAGTGTGGAATTCAATTTAGAAAACTCTGCAGCATATGTGTCAACAGGAGTAGCAAAAGCCGGGGGAGCAGAACAACAGGAAGGCCCACTGCTGTCACCATCTATGCAGTGTGCAGAGCTCCCACCGGGTCACAGGGGTGGGTCCATCCTGGGGGGCAGCCCTCTCCACCGCAGCCCTGCACGTCTGAGCAGCTGCAAAGCCCTCAGCACACTTTCCTTTGCCACCTTATTTTCGTCACAGCAACACAAAAGAAGAGCGTATCAGGCAGAGGAACAGGGTGCACATACACGGTGTCTCCATGGCCCAGGCGTCCGCCGTCCCCGCAGCCCCAGGAGTACACCTCTCCAGTGGCTGCCAAGGCCAGGTAGTGGTGACCGTCTGAATGGGCAGCAATTTTTACAATGTTTCTGGAAGCAAGCCCCTGGACCAACTGTGGGGCCTAAAAAAGGTAAAAACAGAAAGAAAATTGGTAAGCAATCCAAGGACAAGAAAACTGCATGACTTGCCTCCCTCGTGTATCTTACCTTAACAAACCCCACTCAGACTAAACCTCTCTGGGGGTTGTCCAGCGGCCTGCCCAGCACTACAGAACAGCACGAGGCAGGTGCCACCGTGGGCCCCATGGCAGGTCTGGACCACTCTTGCACAGGGAGACGTGCAACTACAGGTGAACAGCGCCCACCTGCCACCATCTCCATGAGCTCCCCATCTGTTACTTCCTGGTCCCAAAGTGAAACGACTTTACAGTTTATAAATGGGAATAGTAGTTGACAATAACTGACACTGTAAGGAGTTCCTGAGCTGAAGAACTAAGAAATTCTGCCCCAAAATCTTGACAATAATGATTATAATCAAGACTTTTAAATACAATTAATAATATACAATGAGCAGATGCTTATAACCCTTCAGAAATCAACTAACATAAAGAAAGACAAGATATGTAGTGCAAACAGCAGAGAGCCCCCTCCACCAACCCACCCCAGGACCTACAAGAGTGTCACTGTTGTAGGCTTGCGTGTATACACGGCCATTCCTCGACAAAATCAGGAAGCGCTTCTCTGCACAGGCGATCTGCATGACCCCCAGGTTGGCAAGGCCTTCACATTGAATGGGACCGATCACATTGGCATAGTATTTCCATCCTATTAACCCCCATCCTATGACTTCTTGTAATGATCCCTGTCAAATAATGAAGTAAGTAAATATTTTCTTCATATCAGCAAGAAAATTTCCTTCTTAGAAAAAAATTAAGAATAATTCATGAAAGGAGTAACAAACAGATCTAATAAGATAAAAATCAAGCAAGTAAAGAAGGAAGCTGATTCAAAACATCAAAATAACTCAGAACACCCCATACAGCCTCAGTCAGCAGGTAAGATAAGTAACTGGACAGGTTACTTTTCCAGAGCATTTCATTTAACAGAGCACATTAAAAAGTATCACAAGTAGATCTTAAATATATTTTAAAATGCTCAAAACATGAGGTTACCACTCTGCCGTAACAGGTAGGGACCCAAGGGCCTCAGCAAGCCTGGAGACAAGCATCCCTGCTGTTAGTGGGGTTAAAGGAGTCAAGCCGCATGACAGAAATTGGGGGACAATCAGCTCCCATGTCTACCACACTGGGTACATCACAGCTGCACACGTGTGCACCTGCGTGTACACACAGAGGAGAACAAAGGTGCCAGGGCAGCCATCGCAATACCACCTAAGCAGCAAACTCCTGGCAACACGAGTTCACCAACAGGAAACTGACTTTAAAGAATCATGACACAGCCACACATGGACCACTAAGCTGTTTCTAACAATAAAGTGAGAAGCTCTTCACTTACAAAGAGAGCTCTTCCGTACCCTGATTAGTGGAAAGACGCGTTACATACAGAAGGGCTATAATATACTACCACTGAGAGAACACTGAAGGCACACATAAAGACCAGAAAAGTGAGGAGCAACAGGTGGAAAACCAGGTGAGACAAGGCAGAGACAGAGGAAGTCTCAATGTATCCTTGCATTTAGTTTTTACTTTTGAACCATGTAAATGCATTACTTATTTGGAAAACATAAATTACTATAATTTATAGTAAATTAAATTACTATAAATTATAGTGATTATAAATACTATATATAAAATACTATATAATGCTATATATAAATATATATAACAGTAAATTAAATTACTATAAATTATAGTAATTATAAATACTATATATAAAATACTATATAATACTATATATAAATATATATATATATACACTATACAAATACTATATATAAAAACTATAGTAATTATAAATTACTATAAAATAAAATAAATACTATTCAAATTAAAGTTAGATAGAATTCCCTGGTAGTCCAGTGAACAAGACTCTACACTGTCACTGCCAGTGATCCAGATTCAATACCTGGTCTGGGAACTAAGATCCTACAAACCTCATAACGCAGTCCCCACCTTCTCCCCAAAATTAAGAGTCAGAAAAATCTGCACTTTGCTGTACAGGAGAAACTGACACATGCTGCGAATCAACCACACGCCAATAAAAGTTAATTTTAAAAGTACTTGTACTATCAAGAACAAAGCTTAAAAACTCCAGATTAAAATCAGGGTTCTTTCTGTGACCTCCACAAAGTGCACTCCAAACGCAGCCTTCTCATCCATACAACGGGACAACATTGCAATGATCAGGTGTGACTGTATGAGATTCTCGGTGAGCCTGTGTCAGCAGGCCCTCACACACCACTATGCTCCTCCTAAGGAAGAGCATACGGCATACAGCATACGGCTGTGTGAACACAGGAGACCTCTCTGGGGACACGCCTCCTGAGTCTGGAACCTGGGATGGGTCCTAAACCCCTATGTGCGTCAGTCTGCTCACTGTGACAGCTCATGACTGACACCTTCAAGTGTACACATTCAAAAGCAGAAAGCAAACTCCACCCCAGCCCCAGAGAAAGTGAGTCTCCACACAGGCACAGAATGAGACTCTAGGAACAAATACACAAAGAATAAACCTTGCTCCCACACTTACTTTATGAGATGTCGGAGAGCTACAGAGGGGTGGCATACAAGGGGTGGCCAGGCGGTCTAAGTGCGCCATGACAACAACTGCAGTCTGTCGTAAGTCTATAGCAAGCTCGTTGTCTTGTGGGAGAGTAAGGTACCTCAGGAAACTCTCGTTGGGGCTCAGAGGGCCAGACAGAAGCTAAAGAAGAAAAGCAAAAAAACAGCTTCAGAAGTGGTGGGGAAAATTAAAGCAACACAAGCAGTCTCTCACCACTCTGCATGTTTTGATACCCTCGGTCAGACAGCACCTGTAAAGCTCTCCCTCTCTGGCTACCACATCAGCAGCAGCGCTGACGCACTCACTGCACACGGAGGTGCCCACACATCCACACACCCATCACCCGTGTGCCAGCTCCACACAGGTCAGGGACACAGCCCCATCCTCCTCAGGTTCACCATCCCAAGGACCTTCGGAGGAAAGCAGAGCCATCTACCTGGGGACAAGAGCACTGTACCTCAACTTGGCTTTGAAATCTGAGAACAACCACCATTATTTTCAGCTAAAGCTTGCCCACTCATCAGAAAAATAACAATTTTATTTGGACATTAATAATTCTAATTCTGCTAACACCAGAACAACCTTATCATCAAAGACTGTAAAGTAACAGAATAATTAGGCTGGAACTTCGTACCGGAACTGCTAAGTTTTTCCAGAAAAGACTTAACAAACTCAAACTTATACCTTTGAAAACCAGCAGTCCCAGGGGTTCGGACCGAGGCAGGCCTGCTCTGCCACTAACCTGTTCCCTAGGACCAAACACAGTGATGGCTGAGGTAACATTTTCTGCATGGTGCCCCACGCTCAGGAAGGGCCAACAAAGTGAGTCACTACTTTCAATGCTGTGTTTCTAAATATGTGTATTTCAGACCCGGCTCCATGCTGCCAAAGTAGGAGTTTGCAGGCTAAAGGAGGTGAGCTCCATAAGTGGCATATGAAGGAGGACAGAGCAGGAAGAGAAGGTTAGCCTAGTGCCCCTGGGAGGGGCAAAACCAATCCACAGTAACTGCTCTCAACAGACAGAGTGAGGCACTGTTGCTCCTTCCCACTCTAGCAGAGCCTAGCCTCCCTGCCCCACTGCCCATGGCATTGCTGCAAGTACCATCAGAACACACCTGACTCTCACACTTTTTCCTGAAATAGCATCAGGATTTTTAACACATCTTTATACTGCTACCATTAATATCTTGCTCCCACATGGAGTTGAGCATGCCTTCTTTACACCCTCCACAGCCCCATCATAGCCAACGCACAACACAAGTGGTTGCTGGGAACACACAGCACTAAACATACAAACTCAAAGGGCTCAATGCCTCGTGCAGCAGAAAGAAAACTCCGTGGCCACAAGGCAGCCGCAGAGAGATCTCTCTGAAAGCACAAACTGATGTATCTCAAGAAGCATGCTTCTAATACACAATCCAGAACAACACAAAGGGCCCGGCATCTATGAAACACAGCTGGCTCTGATCCCTCGAATGTGCTGCATGAATCGAATGTGACCATGGCAAGTTCTGCTGCATCAACTGTGACCCAACCATGACCTCCCATACCTATCTCACACCTGACTCACTATTGTAACTGCCAAAAACACACTACCCCCGGAGAAGCAACTACTATCACAGATATGTGCTCTGGGCTTGTTTATAAAAGGTTAAATCCTTCAGGATAAGCAAAATGAAGACAGCTATTTAGCTGCGAAGTCTCATGATGGTACCTACATGAATGTCACCCTCGGCATAGGGGGCATCTTTACTGCAGACGATACTCCGGAATCTCTGCAGCAAAGGCAGCAGCGGGGCGCTGGTGCCCTGGGCAGACCGCTCATTGTCAGTTTCCTGCGTCCCACTGTCCCACAGTTGAAGTAACAACAGGATAGCAGATAACATTTGACTGGAAGAGAAAATATCCTTAGGCTCTAGTAAAAACAGATTAATTTTTTTGGCCATGGTCTATAAAAAATAAAAGTAGATAGCTAAATAAAATTGAAGAAGAAAAAAAAAGAAAAAAAGAAAAATTAAATAAATAAAATAAAATTGAAGAAATACTTTAAATATGAAAGGAAACTAAAACAAGGCCATGAAAAGTGAAAACAAATCTAGGCAGTAAAATCGCTAAACAGTTCAACATTTTAGCACAAGACATCCATCTTCTGTGGATAACAAATATAAAACCAGTTAGGAAGTTCAAACAATACTTTCTACAGGGAATTTCTAGGACCTTAAATTAATGGAATAAAAATAACAATTTGAAGAAAATTCAGAGAGAGAGAGAGGAAAAAAAAACAAACTGTTCTGGACTACTAGAAAGTTGATCATAAAAAGGAAGCGAAGGAAACTTAAGTGTAGCCAGATCTGAAAGAAGGGTCCTGGGACATGGTTCTTTGATCACAGATCCTCACACATTTGCTGCAATCACAAATAGTTCAAAGAAATGCAATAGCTGCTCGATACAGAGGCGTTTCCCAACCACACTTCCAATCTGGGGCACGGCTCACCTCAGCGCGCCTCTCTGCACAGCCAGTTCTAGCAGGATGGCCAGGGCCAGGTGCTGGTCCTGCAGGGGGATGCTTCCCGGCCCTTTGGTTGCAGGCGTTCCATGAACATCCCTGAAAGCACAGCAGAGGATGCGGCAACAAAGTGACAACAGAGCTTAAAGAGAATGTGCTTAAAATAAGCATGCTCTTAACGTTAAACTAATTATATTCCCTCTCCCATGAAGACGTGTTTTTAGTATTTAGAATCAAGTTTCTGAGACTTGCTTACTCAAATTTAATCAGATACTCTAAAGGAGACAATTAACTTGTAAAGACAAAATTTTATTACAAGTATTGACCGAGATACTATAGGATGATTACATTAGAAGACATTTCAAGTTGCTATAGCATAAAACTACTTATTATTCAAATCATGAGTAGAAAAATGTTTAGACATGTTTCTAGTTTCAGTGACGTGTAAGGCTATTACAGTATCAACATTCATCTACACAACTGGAGAAGAATCCATTTATAAAACCATTTGAATATCTATAGGCAAAATGTCAGTTTATTTTTATTTCTGACCAAAGAAACTTTCCCTTGTTCTCCAAAAATAAGTAAGTCTTCTTAACCCAAGATGAGGGAGGGAGGATCTTCCAACATCACTACTACTGCTGAATTTTTAAAATCAATTCCAAGCCTGTTTTCAGGGCCTCCCAACCCTAAACTACATGGCAATGACATCAGAAACTCTGAATAGCTAAACCTACAGTCCACTGGCATGGAGACCAGAGGTGTGTTCCTCCTGCAAGGGACACAGCAGGTGAGAGAATGAGAACAAACTCTCCTCCCCTGTCTCTGCTGTTTAATTTTGTACTGAGTATACATATTTTCCTTAAACTTAAAAACTGTTAATAAAAATGCATAGCACCTAAGACCAGAGTTCATGGATTTCCATAAAGAAAAATGATTTACATTCATATCTTTTCACACTAAGAAGACCCTACACTTCATTCTGAATCAGTTGTTTAGTCCCACATCGTCTATTAAGACAATACCCACCACTCACAATGGTGGCACCTGCATTCACTGAGAGATGCATAACAGGTGCTCAAACACTTTTGGAAATACTGATATCCAAATCATAAAATTTCTGAAAAAAATAAGTAACAAAAGCATGATTCATCTTCCACTCCATTCAGTATGACAGCCTACTAGGTGCAATCAAAATTTCGAAAGTCAAACATTTGAAAAGCTGAGAACCAAAGATCTGGAATCACAGAGCTGAAGGTATGCAGGAAACATGCCAGGAATCAATCTACTGAGTTTCTTATCTCTAAACAGGAGAGACAAGACTCTGAAGCAGGCTGGAACCATTCACACAGTAAGATATGAAAAGGAAGAACTCACCCAGTCACGACGGACCTGAGGAACCGGGTTGCTCTTTCTACCACCTCCAGCCACACAGAGGATACGGTGCTCTCATCAAAGAGGGAGGCCTCGGGCAGGGCTCTCAGAGCATCCAGAGACTCCTGCAACAGCTCACTGCAGAGGTCCGCGTCCTCCCCTGGGCACACACACACATACAGCAGATGAGGCTGTCCATCTCCCGGCAGCACACACACCGAGCACTCCCCACTCTCCCAGGTGGGTTTTCTAGTCCCAGAGTGAGAGAATGACACTGGCACATTTTCTATTTCCCACTTTCCTCTCAGCTAGAAACCCCAAGTACTCAGATATTAAAAGTTAACAGTTACTCCAAAGTGTTCTTTATTTTATGACTCTTATAATGGGTACTTCTACTTTCTGGTTCTCCCAGAAAATAAATCATTACTGAGGCACAGCAGTGGTTTACCTGGAATGTGTGTGTGCATACACACCTTTTTGGGCCTGAAAAGTCAAACAGACTATGAAGTCTCTCACTTTACCAACAAGGAAAATGAGGCATAGAGAGCAAATAGACCATCCTAGGGGCATGGGTTGGCAGAAGCGAACAAAGAATCCATATCTCCTGATGTGGCAGGAAAGAGAACATGCTGGGCACATACCTGAGCGCCAGGCCCTACGCAGAAATGCAAAGGCGAAGGAGAGAGCTGCCCTGGACCCCACTCTTGCCAGGCCTTCCACGCCTTTGCCTGCAGGCCGGGAACTGCAAACAACACACATGGGGTGGGAGGGAATGGGAACTGGTCAGTCAAGAGGCATGTGCAAATGCTAAAATAAAGTATGTAGTACAAAAGAATTTGTTCCAAAACGTGATCAGTGGGTTTCTTTAGATAAGGGGATCACAAACAACTTTTAGTTTGACACTTTAAAAACTTTTACCAAATGTCCTTTGTAAAGAAAAAGAAAATGTCCTTTGTAAAGAAAGATATTTACAAAGAATTTTAAATGACTTGCAAAAACACAAAATAATCTGAGGGAACTAATATTATTAGTTGGATAAACAGTAAGTACATAAAAGGGGAGAATAACCTCATGCAATAAAGAAAAGGCAGGAGAGCGGTGAGGCGCACACAGAAAACCACGCATCCAGGCCGAGTCTGCTCTGGCTCTCCCCAGCTTGGGTGAGTGTGGCCGCCGGGTCTGCAGGCTTGTGCTCTTCTCCTGCATCCCACCTCCTGAGAGGGTACCTTCTCCTGAATGGAGTGCTTATCATTCTCGGGTGTCTCTTTAAGCTTTTTATTACTTACATATGTTCATTTAACAAGACATGGTTTCATTGTGCATCTATTAAGAAGTCATACAAACCAAAAAAATCACCCTTGAAAAAAAAAAAACAAGAAAACAAAAATGTGTGTACAGTATAAACTTAACCATAGGAAGCAATTTTATTTTCAACTTTATACTATTATGGTTTTTCTATCATGTATTTTATTCTTTCATAATCAGTTAGAAATGTTATTAAAAATGGACAAGATATGGAATGATCTCCCCAAGACACAATATCAACAGAGGCAGCTGGTGTGCACAAGTCTATAAATCCTGACTAGAACGGAACATGTGCCTGGGGAGCTCTAAGGAAACACAAACAACTGAAATTAGCGGCTGCCTCCTACGAGGCAACTGGGTGCCCAGAAGACAGGAATAAGGAGATTTATACTGAATAAGAATTGTAACCTTAAAAGATAAAGATGTATAGTAAGACATGTGGTCTTTAAAACAATAAATACACAGACGAAGTCAATTCAGATGAAATGGGAGGAGTACCCCACACAGGGAACCCTTTAAGAAATACATTCCAGGAGAAGCATGAATCTAGGGCTCTCCTGAGCCAATCGTGACCTTATCCACGGAAAAAGAGCCCAGCAGTCCTAAAGTGGCATGGTTTAAGAACTGCTAAATCTTCAACAAGTGGCTCTCTATTTTATAGATATTTAAGCAAACAGAAATAGAACAGTTTGGACACACCCCCATCTACACCAATCAACTATCCAACCCAGAGCTAGTTCTGTGAAAAAGGTAAAACTCACTACTATCCAAATAGGTTGAGAAATTAGGAAATCTATAAATATTTAGGAAATAACACTATATATCTAACAAAATGGCTACAGTAAATAAGTGACAACACCAAAAGCTGACAAGGATAGAAAAAAAACCACTCACACTTGGCTGATGAGAATGTAAAATTGTACAGTTATTCTGCACATAGTATGAAAATGCCTTACAAACCCAAACCTAAGACCCAGCAACTACACTCTAAGTTACTTATCCCAGAGAAACTGAAACTTATGTTCACAGAAAAACCTGCAGAAAATATTCACAGCAACTTTATTCAAAATACTCTAAAATTATAAACAACTGAGATACCTTCAAAAGGTGAGTGGTTAAAAAAATACGGTACACCTATACACGGAATCCTGTTCAACAATGACGACACACGCATATACCTGGAAGAACCTCAAAGGAATAATACTGAGTGAAAAAGCCAACCTCATAAAGTTACATAACAGACATGAAAACAGCTATAAAAAAGGGTCCTTATCCTATACCCTGCCTGGGGCGGTTCTGACAGAAATCTACACCTGTAATAAAATCCCCTGGAAACACACACACACAGGACTGAGAGTGCCTAAAATGGAAAACATGAGTAACACAGGTAAAATGTATCCAAGTCAATATCCTAACTGTGATTCTGCCTTACAATTTCCACCTGGCTAACCCTGGGGAACCTGGGCGAAGGGTATAAGGAATCTTTCTGTATCATTTCTTACAACAAGTGAGTCCATAAAAGCATCTCTTATAATAAAAGAATGAGTAAATCACATTAAGAAGAAAAATATGAAGCATCTAAACTAGTTAAGCACTACTGCAATATGATAATTTCCTATCCAATACCAAAATTAAACAAAAAGAATATAATGTTCAGATCAGATTTTCAAATCTTGACATGCTGATCTAAACTTCTGACCGGTTTCTACTGCTACTGACAGAAAAGTGTCTTTAATGGGACAGATTACAGCATGGCCTGATATTTTATAAGCAAACTGGGAAAGCCATTCACCAAATTATATAAAACATACAAAAAGGGAAAGCAAGAATAAAATTTCAGAAAAAGAAAAAACAGACTACATTTTAAGTCTTAATTAAACTTTCCTTATTAAACAAACCAGACTGAGTTTTACATTTAGCTGTTATCAAGTTACTTTCTGAATTATATTATTACCTTTTTTTGTCTGCAGGAGGCAAAGAAATGTTGCTGCTTTTCCACTTAACTTTGACATTCTCCTGGAAAACAGTTCTATTCAAGGCAATGAAATATCGTTCCAAAACAATGAGCCTCTGCTTGAGTCTCAGAGCTGAAAGGGTGGTGGTCGCTGACTGGATGGCCAGAGCTTGCTGCTCTTTAACCAACACAGAAAGACACTCCTTCAATTCATTCACATCTAGAAAACAACATAAAATAGCCAACCTCTGAATATCATAGGCACAGTTTGTTTTAAGGTTGACAGGTAATAAGAACAGGTAACACCTGAGTGCTTAATATGTGCCCAAATGATTTTAAGCACTTAACACACATTAGGTAATCCTCACAGGCACCACAAAGAGGTGGTACTGGGAGGGCATCCTATGGAGGAGGCAACTCAGCCCAATGTCCCCCAGACGCGTATGGGACACTGCCCTTCTGTAAACACGGTATCAGGTAAAACCGTTTTTAACACAACACTGTGAAGTCAATACTTGTTAGCAATACATTTCCTAGATAGGAAGAAAAACCATATTCAGTATTTATGTTATGAAACCAAATTCATAATGAAAATGATGTTTCAATAAATTGCCCAGCATACAATACTCATGAAAGTTGATATATTTACTGGAATATTTCAGAGGAAGATGAAATTAACTAGTCAGAATGTGCTATGGATAAGGGGTATTTCATTATACTATTCCTTCTACTGTGTATGTTTGAAATTTTCCACACTTTAGGACTTTTTTTTAGGTGCCTAGAAGAAAGTTACATGAATGAAAATAATGAAAAGGACTCTTATCCAGCGATTAATCATAAAGCTACCTAAACTTGAACTATAAACTAAGTTACCTTCCACCAACCCCTTGTAACAGTACGTACCCAGTGGNGGGGGGGGGGGGGGGAGGCTGTTCTTTTGTTCTGTCTCTGATGCTGATTAGTTCTGAGGCTAAACCAATCAACACCCTGGTAGCTTTATATCCCAAGAGACAACAGCCACATACCTAGTGAATGTCCCTATATGGAAGACACTTACTTCTCAGCTACCCATGACCTCAACATGCTTTTCCCATCAGAAAGGAGATCACAGAAGGCATCAGATGGACACACCTCACCTCTCTTTAGGGCTGCCACCAGGACAAAGCTTCTCTCACCACACACAGGCACTATGGCACAGAGACAGATATTCAGAAACCAGAGGCTGGATTCCAAGTGTGGAAAGCTCCACTAGTTAAAACAGCTAACCACTACAAAATCTAGACCAAAAATACTTTTAAAATATATACATCTTTTAAACTCCACACTAGGCTCAAGATGAAGTAGAAAGATTTATATGTGAGGTACCATCCCTAGCCTTCACAGGCATCCTTGCAGAATCACTGTTGGCCCAGCACTGAGAGACACTTGACTCCTTGGAGACACACAGGAGACATCACTGAAACAGCACTGCCAAGGACAGCTCATCAGAATTTCTTCCAGAGATCAGGTCTAACAAGAGGCACCTTCCAGAACAGTCACTGCATTTTCTACCAGGAAGTGATAACATCTCTCATCTGCCTCGCTACAATCCAGAGATAGCTGTGAAACAGAGAGAGCATATATGCTCTTGGGCATCTACCTGCTCTCCTTCCTGACTGTCCTACATCTCCTTGCCCTGTCCAACTCCTAAGGCTAAGAAATCCGTCAGTTTTTGCAGGACACTTTGAAACAAGTTGGTGAGTGTTTACCTACAAGACACAGAAATAAATCATGCGACCATGTGGGGAGCCAGCAGAACTCCAATCCCCTCCTGACATGAACAAAGTACAGCACCTTCTTGCTCTGTCAGAATGCTGTCACAGAAAACCAATGAAATACCCTCAGGATATAACCTGAAGATGCCTGTGTTTCAACACAAAGTTACTCACCACACCACGAACGAGGAAGATCTCAAAATTAATTTTCAAAAGACAATCAATAGATGGAAAAACCAAGATGACAGAGACATTACAATACTCTGAGAAAGATTTTAAAGAAGCCACAGATTAAAAATGCCTCAAAAACCAAAAACACACTTGAAACATGAAAAAATAGAAAACCTAAGTCAAAAAGAGATGTCTATTAAAAAAAAAAAGAACCAAATGGAAATTTTGGAACCAAAATAAAAAGATCAGTAAAAGGGCTCAACAGTAGAATGAAAAAAAAAAAAAAAAATTAAAAGCTAGAAGTTGCCCGATCTAAATAAAGACCCAAAAATACACTGCAAAAAATAAAACCACACTGAACTAAAACTATGCTAGAAGGATTCACCAGGACATTACATGAAGCAGCAAAAAGACTCAGTGAACTCAAAGACAGGGCACTGTAATTCACCTAATCAGAGCAACAAAAAGAAAAAAGAATGAAAAACATGTGAAAATAGCTTAAGGGGTATATGGCACAACATCAAGCAGGGTAACATTTGCAGGGCCCCAGAAGAAGAGGTGGAGAAAGACGCGGAGAAGTGACCTGATGTAACACAGGTACAAACCTGAAGAACTGGGGAAGGAAGCAGACACTGAAATCTAGGAGGTCCAGGCAGTCTATGCTTAAAATGGGTAACCGACAAGGGCCTCCTGTAGGTAATGGCACATGGGACCGACTCAGTGTTATGTGGCAGCCTGGATAGGAGGAGGTGAGTCTGAGGGAGAATGGATACATGTGCGTGTATGACTGAGTCCCTCTGCTGTCCACCTGAAACTGTCACAACATTGTTCATCAGCTATACCCCAAAACAAAATACAGTTTTTTAAAAATAAATAAATAAGAGTCATCTATATTCAGCCTACAAAAGCGTATCTTCAGACATAAGGACAACACACAGACTGAAAATGAAGGGATGGAAAAAGATATTCCATGCAAATGAAAACCTAAAGAAACCTGGGGTACCTACACTTAGATCAGATAGATAGATTTTAAAACAAAACTGTAATAGGGGACAAAGAAGAGCATTACATAATGATAAAGAGGTTAGTCCAACAAAAGGACTAACATTTGTAAAACAGTTATACACCTAACATAGGCATAACCATATACAAAGCAAATCTTAACAGACCTAAAAAGAGAAATCAATTGCTATACAGTAACAGTACAGGACTTTAGTATCTCACTTACATCAATAGATAAATAAATCATTCAGACAGAAAAATCACTAAAATAACAACAGACTTAAATGACAATGTAAGACCTGATGGCCTTAACAGATAATATACAGTTCATTCCATCCAAAAGTAATAGAATACACATTCTTCTCAAGTGCACGTGAAACATTCTCCATAACAGAAAACACATTGGGGCACAATAAACTTCATTAGACGGCAATCACATCAAGAATCTTTCCAAACTATAAAGTTATGAAATTGGAAATCAATTACAAAAAGAAAACTGGAAAACTCACAAACACATGGAGATGCAACAACATGCCACTGAAGAATAATGGGTCAATGAAGAAATCAAGAGAAATTTTTTAAAAATACCTTTAGGCAAAGGAAAATGGAATTGCAACCTACCAAACTTACCAGATACAGCAAAAGCAGTTCTAACAGGGAAGTTCAGAAAGACAAATGTCTACCTCAAAAAAAGAAAAAGAAAAATCTCAAACAAGAAACTAAATAAGCTAAGTAAACACCTCAATAAACTAAAAAATAAATAAATAAATGAATGAAAAGAAAGAACAAATGAAGCCCTAAGTTATTAGACGGAAGGAAACAACAAACGTGAGAGTGGGAACAATTGAAAGAGAATAAGAAGATGATATAAAAGATCAATAAAACCAACAGCTGTTTTTTGAAAAGATAAACAAAACTGACAAACTGTTAGCTAGAATCACCAAGAAATAGACAGGACCCAAATAAATAAAATCATACATGTAAAAGGAAATGTTACAACTGGCACCAGAGAAATACAATTATACAACAACAAACTTTAGAGATTAGATGAAATAAATTCCTAGGAATATACAAAATTTCAAGACCAATCATAAAGAGATAGAAAATATGACCAGACCAATAACCTGTAAGGAGAATGAATTAGTCATCAAAAACCTCCCAACAAACAAACTCCAGGACCAAAGGGCTTCACTGGGGAATTATGCGAAACCTTCAAAGAAGAATTAATTCTGATTCTTCTCAAACTTTTCCAAGGATAAACAAAAAAAGAAAAAAAAAGAGGGAATACTTCCAAACTCATTTTGTAAGACCAGGATTACCCTGACACCAAAAACAGACAAGATAACCACCAGAAAAGAAAATTTCAGGACAATTATCCTGATGTTCACAGATGCAAAAATATTCAACAAAATATTCACAAAAAAATTCAACAATACATTAAAAGAATCATACACCATAGTAAAGTGGGATTTATTCCAGGGATACAAAGATATATCAACATCCACAAATCAATCAATATGCTATACAATAGTAACAAACTGAAGGATAAATATTATATAATCACCTCAACAGATGCAGAAAAAGCATTTGTTCAATATACATTTATCATAAAAACTCTCAACACAGTGGGTAGAGAGGGAACATACCTCAATGTAATAAAGGCTATAAATGATAAGCCCAGAGCTAACACCATACTCAACGCTGAAAAGCTGAAACATTTCCTCTAATATAAGGAACAAAACAAGGATGCCCACTCTCACAACTTTTTTTCAACACAGTATTTGAAGTTCTAGCCACAGCAAAGAAGAAAAAGTAAATCAAACCGTAAAGGAATAAGTAAAACTGTCACTGCTTGTAATGTCATGATGTCATACATAGAAAATCTGGAAGACACTCATAAGAATTATCAGAACTCGTCAATGAATTTGGTAAAGTTTTAGGATACAAAATTAATAAACACAAACCTGTTGCATTTCTATTCACAAACAATGAACTATCAGAATGAGAAATTAAGAAAAAGGGTCCTATTGACAACTGCATCAATATATATAAGTATATTCATAT